ACATTTCATTACATTCCTGAACTACTGAATATCGGCTGGCTCCATTAATTAGCTTAGCTACGATGGAAGACAGAATAAATGTGAATGCAAATCATAGTGCACCTAAATGTGAACTAGATAGCGTTCTCTGATAGCGTTCTAAGCATGAGCATCTGCATTCCTCTAATTTGAGAAACAGGAGTCTGTTGCAGACGGGCCTGGCTACCGTGGCTAGACCCGAGGCAGCAGGGTCAATATAAACCACAGACTGACTACATTACCCAGCCTGCCATGTCCCTGCCATCCATCATAGACCACCCCATTCTCTCCCACACACAGGCAGCTATTACAGCTCTAGCTGTGGTCACACAGGGCTATCATCGTCCTCACAGACCCTCATTCATCTCGCACTGCCCTCCAAACCACACATAATCCAAATAAAGAAAGCGCTGCTGTGATTGATGGTGGAAAGGATATATGTTCTAGACAGGAAGGGAACACGCTGTTCCGTGGGGTCTGGGTTTTAGGCCATTGTGGTTTATGCTCAAGTAAATCAGCGCAGTGTTTTCTTACTAAGGTCAGTGAAAGCTAATCCTTATATACGCCAGAACAGTGGGCAGAACGACAGCACTGAAGTCAACTACTCGGCTGAGTGGCTCAGAAGAGAAGTCAGTAGTTCATGTTGTTTAAGATAATCAAACTAGATCTGCCTCTCAGTCTATTACTGTCTCTCTCTCTGTGAGGTTCCAGATAATCTACTCGGTCTCTGTCCTTTGTCTTGTTGATAATGAGGTTTATATCAGCACAACACACTCCCGTCACATGGAGAACGCTCCAGCAGCTAAACCACTCATGGCGGACCCGAGAGGCTGTGCGTGACGTGGGCCGCCATTTAATTTCACGCTCAGGATGCCTGACGCTCACAGAGGAGAGAGAGAGCAGGAGAGCAAGGAGGAGAGAGGGAGAGGAAGAGATAGAGAGGAAAAAGTGAAGAGCTCAAATGATGAAATATTGGAATGTGGGTATAATCGGAAGCTCAGTGTTAAAGGGCCCCTATCATGGAAAAGGAAAAATTCCTTTCATTTTCAATAAGAGGAGTTTGATATAATACATAAACATTGTTAAAGATTTCAAATGTACTGTTCTCGTCTAAGCTGTGGGAGCTATGGGAAACAGCCCATTTCTAATTCATCATGGTTGTGACATCACATTTACATTAAAAGTCTTAGGCCAGAGGTCGGTAACCAAAATGTTAAGAAGAGCCAATTTATCCTTTCAACAAAAGTCAAACCATCTTGGGAGCCACAACATTTTATGTCCATTTTACAGTTTTGGCTGTAAATACATCTCAGTATATGCTAATGTGCTAGTATAGGCTAAAAATATGAAATACATAAAATATAAAAAAATGCTGCTTTAAGGTTTAGCTCAGCTATAGCCTCTTTTCTCACATCTCCAGCAGGAAACTTGTCTACAAAAGTAGAACAGTTTCTTGTAAAATGTGTCTCGATGTTTGTTTTTTTACAAGGCTAAAGTCAGCTTCTCATTCTTGTTCAAATTTTTCCATTCCACCTTAAATGGTGCCTGAGATGGCAGAATGTAACTGCTGCACCGTTTAAGGTGGAACGGAAAAATTCGAACAAGAAGCTGGGGAACGAGAAGCTTTGCGACTTTTTAGAGTTTGACAGTTTCTCGGTGCAGATTAAACATATCAGGAAACCAGCTGGAGTGATTATAGACGCAAACAAGTCCATTCATCTCCAAATTATCGATGTTTGTCTTAAATCTTTCTCTCTGTCGTTTCATTAGCTACTAGCTAGGCGAGACTGTTGTCTGCATTGCAGTATGCATGCCAAACTTCATGGTTAAAAGCTGGTGAATTAGCAGACATAAGCTACATTAACTCTAGTCTTTAAGACCATTTATTGTTAAAACTGTGTTAAAACGATCAGCAGAGCTTCATTTTACCACAAAGGAGTCATCAACTTGGGCATGCAGGGCACACAGGCAGGCCCAAAGTTTTATTCCGCACCTCTATAATCTAAGAATGGCTCAACCAGTTTGCATTGGAGTCCCTGTAATTATTGAATAATAAGCCTTAGTATGTAATAAGCCTGGAATTTTAAGGGGTTAAATTCACCAGCATTACATTTAATTCAATGAAGCACTGATTAGCCAAACAGTTAAACAGCCACACTGACATGCATAAAATCAACACTTTTTGTAGTCATTTTGTTTTTTTTTCTAACACTAGTATTTTTACTAAAACAAAACAACAAAAAACCTTACTGCTCAGATCAATAGCTGTAAAAAAATTTCTCAGAGTATTGTATGACTATCCATTCAGTCTACATCAGTTCAGCTCTGCTCATTCCCTCTGAAGTGATAAAGAGGTTTGTTCCTGCAGACAGTCTGTAGCAGAGTGATTGGACAAATGATTAATCGATCTGCTGTCACTGGCTGTCAGGAAGCAAATGGATTATTGCAGCCTTTCAAAGCGTCCACATGTCAAAAAAGAGCAGCTGAAGTTTACTTCTCAGACGTCCCTGATTAGTTCAGTCCTAAGGTAACAATTTAGGGCAGCCAATCAGAACAGAGATCACTTATATCAGTCTTATCACAGCAACAAAAAACCCTATTTAATTCTGAGCAATAAAGAATAAAGACGTTCATGTAAAAATTAACTCTTAATTAACTGTTTATTAACTGTTTTGGTTCATAAATCCATACAAATGCTATACATGGACATGGACATGGAAAAAATAGAAAAATAAAAATAAATTGTTTATTTATAAATAAACAGAAATTGATAAAATAGAAGAATAATGTAGAAACTGGGCAATTTGAAAAACCTGAGTCACTCTTAAAAAGATGGCCCTTCAAGGATTCTTTAGTAAAGAAAATGGTCCTATATAAAAACATGAATACTCAAGGAACACTTTGCATGATTAAAGCGTTCTTTATCATGAACAGGTTCTTCAGATTGATGGAAAATGTGCTGTTGATGGTTCTAAACAGAACCTTTTTGAAAATGGCTCTATTTAGCATCCAAAAGGGTTCTTCAATTGCCATAATATCAAGATTGTAAGAATAGAAGAACCCTTTTGGATGCTATTTAGAACCGTTTTCAAAAAGCTTCTATACAGAACCGTCTACAGCACATTCATGCACACTGTCCATCAATCCGAAGATACCTGATACATGATGCAAAGAATCCTTTAATCATGCAAAGGGTTCCTTGAGTGTTCATGGTTCTATATAGAACCATTTTCTTTACCAAAGAACCCTTAAAGAACCTTTTTTAACAGTGTAGGCCAGGATCATAGAAAAAGTAAGTAAGAAGGTGAGAGACAGCCAGAAAAAAAAGATGAGAAGAAGACTGAGGCAGAGAAACACTAACAGGCAAATCCATTTCATTTTGAATACAAAAGAACCTCCTCCCTATCTCCGTCTATCTGTCTCCAAAAGGAAACAGTCTATCAGACTAGGAGTTCATGAGCATTCAACTGAAGCGGACTTTGTTTCTGCCAGAGGTGGAGAAAATTCAAATGTGATCTTTTTTATCTTCTTTACCTATACAGATGTCAGAAAAGTATCAGATATCAAAGTCATGGGTATACAAATGTGTTTCTGCTAATCTTGGTTCCCCAAAAAGGTTGCGGAATTATAAGAAGGTGGCTTCCTATGAATGAGGTCTTGCTTGCTTGCAGAAATCTATACTTAAACTGATATTTTTCATAGCTTAATTACATGAAACTCTATAAACTTGATAGAGGATTAGCTGATTTGTTTGGCTGTCCAAATCAAAGACATAAAGCAAGCAGAAAGAAGCATGCTAGACGGTTGGATTACTCAGACTGGATTGAGAACACCCATGTCTGTGTCTGGATTAGAAGCTGTGATGTTAAATGAGCGAAGAGATAGTAGATGGTAGGTAGGATTTAAGGTGGTATTAACTTCAGGCTCCTGCAGATGGCGTTGCACGAGGACGATCGGGCTGTGAATACCTGCTGGGTGTACGATGGTATTCATATATTGAGAAGAGGTGGTACAGTCCTGTAAATGCCTTGTTCAATGTGTGAAAAATGTGTTAAAGAGCGTGCTAAAGACCATGGTGTGCAGGAAGTAGCTGGATTTGCAGGTGTATCAAAACATATGGTCATACAGGTCGATCAGCAGTGGCAAAAATCTCAGTTTCCAGTCAGAATTGTGGACAAAAGACAAAACTGACCCACAGGGACCGCTGGCGTGTTTCACGGCTTGGGAATAAAACTCGCTTCGCTTCCAGGCAAGAATTGCTTCAAGAGGCCTTTTGTTCACTTCTACTCACAAAGTTGCCAGGTTACAGTGGGCGAAAAGACACAATTCAGGAGCATTCACACATCTGGACTGGGCCACAAAATCCCCAGGTTTGAATCCTCTTGAAAATCTCTGGGACTACACGGAACAACAAGTAATACGCCAGGGAAGGCACCACAAAATCTGGCCGAACTGCTCAGTTTTTTGATGCAAGAGCAGCTGAATATTGATGTCGTCTACATCCAGAAACTTGTCCAGTCCATGCCAAATTGAATCGCAGCTGTTATTCGTGCTCGTGGAGGTATTACACACTATTAGGTAAGTTTCAGTCACAGGTGACTCATTTTTTGACTGGTAAGCTTATTACTGATTCAGACAGACAGCATGGACATTCTAGAGGTGCGGGCAGAGACGGAGAAACCAGACTAGTTGAAGGCATTACAACAGACAACAAAACTCACAAATGAACAAACACTGAATGTTCTGCAGTGTTCATAATGAAAAACATCCATGTTTAAAGGTTTGTCTTTGTTCATACATGAAGAAAAACAATGCAAAAGCAGAAGAAAAATTTAAAAAGGCATCTATGCAATGCACTTATGAATCAACAATAAAACAGTAGTCAATGTGGAGAAATACAGCATGCAATAAATTCCTTTTGAATACAGAGAACAGCTTTTCCGTCTGCACAGTGTGAGAATTATAGAAGTATTTTACCACGTCTGATGGCCGTTCCTCAGCAAATCTATAAGGATAGTTCTTTATGTCTGAATATTTAGGGAATCTCCTTACTGAGCTGCTCTTCATACTGTTTACGGAAGCAATCTCCGACAGGAAAAAATTCCCAGCAGCGCTCCTGGTACATCTTCCATACGTATGACTCCTGTTGGAAAGGAAGGAATGTCATGAGGTTTAGAAACCTCTTCCTTGTAGCTCCACCTTGTTGGTGCACAGTTAGAGTCTACAGTTTTTGTGTTGACCATCGTCTATACATTCATCAATTGCCAGTTTCTGACCACAGAGCTGCTCTTTGCTGGATAATAATACAACATCCCAATAATATCCGCTAAACTAACCTCCTGTGGTCAGAAACTGACCAATGATGAATGGAGTACAGGGCGGCTCATAAATCGCGCAGAGACAGATGGGCTACAGTCTGTGCACATCAAGCAGTGAGTAAAATGATAAGGTCTTAAGTTGTCAAGGTTTTTTTTGCATGGCTGCTGTTCTGCTCAACAGGCTTTGTAAGGCTTTGCAAGAAAAAATGGCATTAACTGAAAGATCATCCCTAAGAACAGAGCCTATTAGATCAACGTTTGCTTGATCCAAAAATCAATAGGCCTTTTCGCTAAACAATAACAGAGACGTTCTTTAAACCATGCGCTGACTGACAGACCTCATTTGCAGTGTTATTATTCGTGTCTTGTAAGAGTCATGCCGCTGTAGCTAAGAGGATTCCTTTTGTGAAGTTTACACGGGTGTGACGGATGGCTCAGAGCTCTGGACGTACCTGTCCTGTGTGTTCTGTCACATCTTTATTGATGAGGTACATCACGAAGAACCTGCAGGCAAGAAATCACATAAAACTCGGACAAACGTACAAGACACATTCATTAACTTACAAGTCAAGAACATTTGCCTGGCTAGGGGCTGTTTTTCTGGAATAAATTTCCTGCATAGCTTCATGAGGGGATTGAATTATTAGAACTTCTTAACCTCTGGACCAACCGCAAACAATGCAGTGTTTGCATTCTCCCTAACTACTGGTCTTTGCACAGCTTTGGCATCCAAGGTCTTAATATGTAATGTCATACGCCAGCATGAGCTCCAGTGTTGGAAAGAAGAGATTTCATTCTTCCAGTACTAGGCTATATGGACAAAAGTATTGGGACACACCTCTTAATCACTGAATTCAGGTATTTCATTCAGTCCCATTGCCAAAGATGTATAAAATCAAGCACAAACATTTGTAAAAGACTTGGTCGTTCTAAAGAGCTCACTGAATTTGAGCATGGCACTGTAATAGCCACCAATCAAAAACACGTCAGTTTGTGTAATTTCTTCCCTCCTAGATATTCTATGATCAGCTGTGAGTGGTATTATTGAAAAATGGAAGCGTTTATGGAACCACAGCAACTCAGCCATGCAGTGTCAGACGATGTAAAGTGGGTCAGTAAGTGCTGAGGTGCATAGTGCATAAAAGTCGCCAACACCCTGCCAATATATTAACTGCAGAGTTCCAAACCTCCTCTGGCATTAACATAAACACAAAACTGTACATTGAGAGCTTCATGGCATGGGTTTCCATGGCCGAGGAGCTGCATGCAAGCCTTACAACACCAATGAAAATGCCAAGAATTGGATAGAGTGGTGGAAAACACACCACCAATGGACTCTAGAGTGTGTTCTATGGAGTAATGAATGTTCTCTATCTGGCAGTCTGATGGATGACTCTGGTAAAGTTTTGTGGAGGAGGGATGATGCTATGGGGCAGTTTTTCAGGGGTTGGTCTAGGCCCCTTAGTACCAGTAAAGGGAAATCTTAATGCTTCAGCAGACCAAGACATTTTGGACAGTTGTATGCTTCCAACCTTGTGGGAATAGTTTGGGGAAGAACCTTTTCTGTTCATTTCAGGTCCATAATGGCATGGCTTGGTGTGGAAGAATTTGACTGACCCTCACAAAGCCCTGACTTCAACCCCATCAACACCTTTGGGATGAACTAGAACGGAGATTGTTAGCCAGGCCCTCTTGTCCAACATCAGTGTCTGACCTCACAAATGTTCGTCTAGGTGAATGAGCAAAAATTCCCACAGACACTCTCCAAAATCTTGTAGAAAGCTTCACAGAAGAGTGGAAGCTGTTATAGCTGCAAAAGGAAGACCAACTCCTTATTCACGCCTATGGATTTAGAATGGAATGTTATAACAGCTTCTGTAGGTGTAATGTGTAGGTGTCCCAATACCTTTGTTACTAACACTAATGTAACTGACATGTATGCTAGCACTGTTCCATTACTGTCCCACTCCAATCATAAATACTTATGCCACTGGTATTACACATACATTATATATGAAGAGTGTCTGAAGCAATACTCACAAATAGTTGGCCAGGTTGTGTTCTTGTAGAGTGTGAGACTCAAAGCCATGGGGCACAGCATCAAAGTACTCACTCCCAATGCCACAGATAAAGCACTTAGTCTGCAGAGAGAATCAGAACAGAAATCATGTTCCTGGTGCAAACAGAGAGGGAATGACCCACTACCAATGAAATTGATAAAATTCTTAGCGCCAGTTTCCCAGAAACAGCTTAAGCCTGATAGCCGACTAAAAAAAAAGAGAAGAAAAAGATTTTCAGTTGAGAATCAACCCCCCCCACCGCCACCCTTGTAGACCTCTAGCGAAGAGAATGAACAGAAATGAGACTGCCATGTGTCACAGAGAAATCTACTTAAGTCTGAAAAGAGGTCATAAACAATGAAGACAATGAATAAATAGGGAGCAGCAGAACCATAATGGCAATCCCTGTGCAGGGAGCAAGCGGTAATTATTGCTGATGTTGAAACTAGTAATCAAATCAGGATACAGCACCAGTCAAAAGCGTGGACCTACCTACTTAAATAAGGACTTGCTCTTTATGCTTATTACTGTCCACAGACTAATAGTGAGCACAACAAAACTGTGAAATAACACATATGAAATGACCACTATCAGAAAAATTTGCTTTTTACTTCACTTTACTCTTTATAATTGACGTAGAAACAAGTTGCAATCATTCAAGCATAAGTCTTTACACCAAAATGTCCAAGACTGCATACATTCAAACAACATTTAATCAGGTGTGTCCAAACTTTAGACTGGTACTTTTCAGTTTGCTGCACTCCACCAATCATAGCAGCAATAGGACCTCATGAAGGCTAAGGAAAAACTCTGTGAATGAACTTTAACAAAAGAGTTGGTTAGATTCCTGTAAAATGAGGAAAGTTTTCTTAACCCTTGTTTGGTGTTGGGCCCTGTGAGACCCATTTTCAATGTTTACCAAAAGAAAAAAATATATTATTTATTATTATTTCAACCTCAGATGTCTTGGCCTTTGCTTATTTTCTGTGAAGAACATATAAAATAACACATTTTCAGTGTCTTCACACTGTAAACCCCCCACACACTTATATTACACGTGGTGTTGGGGTGAACCCGTGGGGAGTAAAAGTGTGGAGGTGCTGTGTCCCTTCACCCTGTTCTCCTCCTACATGGCCTGCTGTTATTGTGTGTGTGTGTGTGTGTGTGTGTGTGTGTGAGGGTGGACAACATGGACGGGCTGCTGACTGGCTACAGCTGCTAAAGGAGAACCCTACCCTGGACACTTGTGATATATTGAACATCTGGTATTTATGCATGAATTGTTATGGCTGTATTGATTTAAAAAACAATGAGGTGGGTCCACCAGACCACTGAGTAACAAACACAACAACACCACACAGGGCTTAAACACTTCGGTATCTGTCTAGATAGTTTACAATGAAATTAGACTTTTGAGTCATATGTTCTCCATGGTAAGCATCTGATTCTTACCTCCATGTCCTCTTTCACCTGCTCTTGTTGGTCTCTCAACTCTCCAAAGGCATCAATGATCAGACCTGCCAAAACATGAGAGTGTGAATGCACATGAGGACATGGCCATGAGAGAAGTGAAACTCAGAAAGAGTGAATGTGCGATAAAACTAAAATAGTCTGTCATAAGGGAGACACGCATTTATATGCAACGTTTATGTCTTTATGCTGACTTTAATGTGAATGTAAGAGGCATTAAATAATCCTTAGCAGACTTTTATCCATTTCTGTTTTCATTAATCTAATCTCATACGTTCTATATGGGAGTTTGGGGATTAGTGCTGGTAAAATGGTAAAGGACTGAAAAAAGCTCTTTGGATTCCATTCAAAATTGCAATGGATGCCGTTTAAAACACTTCAGCAGAATCTTTCTTATTCCTTTTGGGGCACAGACACAGTCACTTGGGCTTTTTCTGGTCCAGTGATTTGCTCCTTACTGTGAAAGATGCCATGGGAGTTCTTGATGACATCATCGTACACCTTACAGCTGAGACTACTGGTAGGTTTAACTAGCAAACCAAGACATATACATCAGAATTCGCTATCAGGTACTGTCAGATCAATCTATTACACCAATTAGTGCTAATGCAGTTATCTAATCATTCATACTAGTTACTGAATAGTAAGACTAGACTTTAAAGCAGGGATAATCAGTTGTAGTCCTGGAGAGCCTTGGTCCAGCAGAGTTTGTTGATTCCTCTGCTGAACAGCCCTGGTTAAGGAGTTAACCTCTATGGATATACACAACATTTTATGTCCATTTTACCATCGTCGCTGTAAATATGTCTCAGTACATGCTAATGTACTAGTATAGGCTAAGAAATTTTATATTAAAAAACTTATTTTGCTCTGCTTAAAGTTTTAGCTCAGCTATAGCGGCTTTTCTCACATCTCAGTCAGGAAACTTCTCCGCAAAAGTAGAATAGTTTCTTGTAAAATGTCTCTTAACATTCGACTTTTTACGAGGCTGAAGTCGCTTCTCATTCAAAGCTTCTTGTTTGAACTGGCCCGTTCCACCTTAAATGGTATCTGAGGCGCCAGAATGTAACTGCTGCGCCATTTAATGGGGAACAGGAAAATTCTAATAAGAAACTGACCTCAGCTTTGCGATTTTTTAGTGTTTGACAGTTTCTCATTGCAGATTAAACGTATCAGGAAACCAGCTGGAGTGATTATAAATGCAAATAAGTCAATTTGTCTCCAAATTATGGATGTTCATCTTAAATCTTTCTCTTTGCCTTTTTGTTAGCCACTAACTAGGCGAGATTGTTGTCTGTGTTGTTATGGTGACCCTGGTAGCCCTATCTGCAGCACATGAGGAGCAGTTGGGGGTTAGGCGCCTCGCTCAAGGGCACCTCAGTCATGTACTGTTGGCTCAGGGGATCGAACCGGCGACCTTCCGGTCGCAAGGCTGAACATTTATTGCTAAAACTGTGTTGAACGATCAGCAGAGCTTTATTTTACTGCAAAGGAGGATTTTTTTTATTTTACCTAAAAATCAAATTCTGTGGAGCTGCAACAGGACAGTAAAAGAGTTGCATGTGGCTCTGGAGCCGCATGTTGCCGACCCCTGCTCTAGGCAATACAAAGTCCTAAAGCAGAGGGTCCCTGCGTTAACCTCACCCTGAATGATGGCCAGGAGGATAACAATGACAAAGAAGAAGAAGGTGATGTCAAAGATGACATGGTAGAACTCAAACTCATCTCCTGCTGGGTCCTCGATTTCATCACCGATCCCTCCTCCAGCTCGGACCCCAACGTACATGTGGAACATGTAACACTGAACACACACACAAGAACACACATCAAGCCAGTAAGCCGTCTGCCATTGAGTGAATCAGATAACTGTAATCCCATGCCCTTTCCTTTGGCATTTGGCAAGATCCAAAGGAGCTTAGCATGCACATTATTAGCCTATCTGTGGGTACATGTGCATTATTACCCTATCCACAAATGACCTATAGACCAAAGCCCGGTTCAGAGAGGATGAGAAGAACCTTAAAGGAATAGTTCAGCAAAAAAAAACTAAAAATGTACACATTTTCTCCCTTAAGGTGAAATGTATTTTGATTAGCAAAATCATGTTTGGCACACAATGTTTTCCTCTTCAGGTCTGTGCTGCAGCTATGAGGCTAATGTGGCTAACTTCATGTCTAGATCATCCCACACTCCCTCAGACCTTGCTGAGCTGTTAAGTAATCTCAAATAGACTTGATTATATGGTTTCTGACTCTGTATGACAAGCTGTTATCTAAAGTGGTGCTCCAGATCCTGAACCCTTTAGAATTCTACATAAATCTATGTAGTAATACATTTCAACATAAATCTGATATAAACTCTTAACAGTAACAATAGATAAATCCAACCCAGCAAAACAAATAATACAAACAATTATACTTTTAGAATTTTAGAATTTTACAATTATTTACTTTTTTATACATTTATTGAAAAAAGTGATCCAACATAAAATGTCTCTGTGGGCAAAACTAAACCTCTAGAATTATCAGTTTGGTATAGGGGATAATCAGGGCCAGGAGGTTCATTCAACTGGATGACAGTCAAGAGTGAGAGTGGGTGACCCTGCCCTATTTATAAAACAACAATCAGAGTCTACAATATCAAAGTGTGAGCGCATGCCAAGCCCAGATCAAAGAAGATTTCAGAGGATTTTAGAAACAGAGCTGTCGATGATGACCAGGCTGGAAGAGGTTGGACTTCACAAGTCCATTGTCAGGTGAATGGTGTAAACACGGTGGTGGCAGTATCATGTTTTGGGGATGTTTTGCTGCTATTGGACCAGCTGAAGATCTCATCACATTTTAAGTCAGATTTATGTAAAATTCAGAGGATTCTAAAGGATTCACAAAATTTCTATCACCATTGTGGAGGGAGAAAAGTAAACTGCGTAGCTAAAAACAGTAGCAGCAACCAGCCAAGACTGCATGTTGTCCATTTTTGTGTGTGATGATTAAGGCAAGTAGCTTGCATGATGAATAAATGTATGTGTTAGCTACATTAGCCTTGTAGCTTCTTATGTAATACTAAAGAGACAAACTTCAGACACTAAACATGTCTTAGCTGATCATCTATATATCGACACTGTCCAAAGAAAACCAAGTATCTCCAAAATAGGAACTTCACAGGAGAGGGCAAAAAGGCTCTTGCCTTTTAATGTAAGTTAATGTTAAGAGGTTTTATTCCGAGTGATTTGGGAGCATTTCTATTAGCCCAATCATCATGAAATGTTCACAAAACATAAGGACAGCTGGTGTGTTGAAATTGTGTACAAAAATAAAAATCAACAAAAGTAAAAATACATGGTTTGCTTTGGACAGTAATATGGTGTAAGGGAAAAGCTGTGAAAAATAGATTTTTACTCAAGAGACTGTATTACCTGGACAGACACCTGTCCTGCAATATAACCTAAGTAAGGAGAAGCATGACTTAAATGCAGTTTTTATTTTTTCCTAGCAAATCACATAATCGAAGCGATGCACCGAGGCAGGATTTCTTGTCTTCTTCCTCCTTTCATGCATGGTGTGCAGGGCCAATTAGACCCGCTCTACACGACTCCACAGTGATGCTGCACTGAATCCAGGATCATCTCTGTGGAGCTCATGATGGCTGGGTTCACTGAGAACAGTGACAGAGAGAAAGAAAAAGCGAACCTACCGTCAGCATGTCGTCACACTTCATGTCCACAGATTCCCCATCGTCGCTTTTGTTGTAAAACTTGCGGAAGAAGTTGAAGGCCACTACAGTGTAGAGATACACCACCACAGCCAGGAGTCCTACAGTCAACACCAACTAAAACACCAACAAGAGCGTTTATGTCATAGATACACTGTCAATTTTATTAGAAACCCATCTTTTGTAGCTCCACCATGCTGGTGTACATTTAGTGACTGTAACTGTAAGACATTTGTTGATGCATAGTTTGTCCTCTAGCCCTTCATCAATGGCTTCTGACCTCAAAGCTGCTCTAGGCTGGATATTTTTGATGTAATGCCAGACGTGTGTCAAAGATTATTTAAAAAGAATGCAAATTAAATCCATGATTGCCACGAGGACGTCAATAAGAGGTAAGGAATTTAGTATAATGTCAGGCAGGGACCAGCCATCATCTGCCTGAAACACAGACCTTAGCAGAAGTCCAGAAGCTAATGCATAGTGATGGATGGTGACTGTACACACATACAAACATATCTAAGCACACATGGTTGAGGTAACGTACCTGTTTGCCATTGTGAGTGACAGATGACAGAATGGTGCGTAGCGTTTTGAAGCCCATGGCAATGTCCAACAGATGTGCAGCGAAGAAGAAATTATTATAGTGACCTAGGACTGACAGCAGCATGTACCAGGCAAGGTACAAGAAGGACTGAGAGGTGATGCAGAGAGAGATACACAGACAGACAGCCAGAGTGAGGGAGAGAGAGAGAAAAAGAGAGACAGAAAGAAAAGAAATAGAATGAGAAAGGCCAAATTGAGAGTACTGACATACTATTATTAAAGAAATCTAGCTGAAGTTTTGCGATGAAAAATGAACTCACATTGTCGGTGAACACCACTCCTAGTTTCCATACTTGATATTTCATATCAATAGTACTCAATCTGAAATCACACAACAGCAGTATGTCAGTGAAAAACACTGAGAGCTCCACACTAAGCACCAGTGCCATCCTCTGGTACAAGAAAGTAACGCATCATAAATCTCTAAATGCCTTTTAGATGCCGGGGAAAATACCATGTAAAAATAGAGCAGGCTTACAATGTTTATCATTTAGGCCTAATACTGTTCTTTAACTAAGCCTCAATTCAGGCGTTTGCTAATACAGACCTTTCACTGAGTCATGGTTCAGGTGTATGCTGGGTAGAAATACACTTGATCTTTCTCTGATCTCTCAGATATTTTCATTACAGCTGCTTTCACTGGGATAAAGTGTTTGACTCTTTATACCCAATCAAAGAAAAGGCATTTTTTCCAGACTTCTAAAGTGAGGTTACAGATTAAAGCTAACCCTCTTATGCTCCCTAAGGTGTATGCGCTTTGAAACACCTCTCCTTGCATTTTATTTCATTATATCTCATTCAAAGCTCATGAAAACAAGCAGAGAATGTCTAAAGTCAAAAGTCAAAAGTAGAAAGGGAGATATTTTATTGTGATGTGACTTAAAAGTGATTGTTGTGTGTACAGTCTATAATACATTCCTATGAAAGTACTTATATAATCAAATAAATAAATAAATAGTTACGTAATAAAAAATGTTATATATATATAAGTTTAATTTAAAAGCATTTTGTATTAAAAACAACAAAAGCGTATAGGTCTAGTCAACAGTAAAAATGATATTAGTATCACTCATGCACAGAAACCCACAGAGCACTGATGAGACTCTCACGGGATGGTGTCCTCCTGTCCTGTGCCTCAGAGCTAAAGTCCAGCGCCGTTTTATCCAAACCCAGCAGCTCACTAATCCGAGCGGAGCCGTACAATTCACCGTACTTAGCCATCACCTGCCACATTCCGCACATAAAAAATAGCATTTTGCACAGTGTATCACATGCAGAAGCACATGAAAGTAATCATTCAGAGAAGATATAACCAGGGATGCATTGATACCACTTTTCCCCATCTGATACCAATACCTGTTCCTCAAGTACTGCCCGATACAGAGCACTAGTACCGATACTAACTACATCTAATCCTAATATTTATACAATTCCACTTTTTAAAAACTTTTTTCCTACGAACTGTTTTGTCACCAATTACACACACACACACACACACACACACACACACACACATATATATATATAGAAGTGCACTGCAGGCAGGGCTAGTGGACCACAGGCTCTTCATTACCCCAAGAGACTGGTTCCTTCCTTATGCTTTATGTCTCTCTAACGTTCGCTGCCTCAATAACAATCTGGACTAACTTCAACTCAGACTGTAACTGACTACACAGTGGGAGATGAGTGATTACTGAAAGGCGCCTGACTTATCCATTCATGCAAGGGGCTCGCATTAGTGTGCTTTACACTGTAAATACATTCTTAACAGACTTATTTGTATGATGCTGAAGAAACTTTTTTTTTAATTAAGAATTCCAACTGGTACATCACCCACTACTATTTCCTTGATCACAAAATACTGGTGGTTTTGACACAAGCATTCTTACTGCTTCTTGTCAACCCACACTGATGTGTTGTTAAGCTCCAGCATGCAGGCACGCATCTCTCAGCAGCGTGCATGCTTCATGGTACTGGTCGGCATTCTCACAAGCAGTTTCATGAGGAGCCGTCTGGTACGCTTTTCCAACAGGACTGAAGAAGATACACATATGCTAAGACTTTGTTGGCTACTTAAAATCACTTGTTGGTAGGCAAACAGGTTTTAAATGAATTTTTTTTGGAAATAAATCCAGACACAGGCATCAACTTCACTATTCATATTAGAAATCACAAGCATTTAAGCACAAGCCTTAAGATCAAATGTGTTCAAATTTATGAAAATATACATTCAAACATGCCCGGACTTCGACTGGTATGGTCATCAATGAGTGTATTAAGCGTATTAATGTAGTAACACACCCAAAATTCCTCTATAAGCATATAATTACACATGCAAACACATTTTTACAATTTCTGCATAATTCAATCACTGAGCCAGTCTGAGTGGTTTTAGTGTGAAATGGTTCACTGTAGAGAAACTTACCAGCATTTCTATACAATAGTGGTAAGAGGAACCAGAGCTTGCACAGTCCACAACACAAATGTAGAAATTTTATCTGTTATTAGAAATAAACAGTGAGCCTAAACATGATAAAAATAATGTTAAATAACTTGGGCTTGTTTTGACTGACAACACCCTGTATGTACCTCTCCACTATGAATGGACTGAAAAAATATATCTTAGGTCAAAGGCTTATCTTAAATCTATTATAAAACAATGTCTCAGGCATCAGGTAGTGTATCCATAACCACGGCTTTTAGAGGTAGTAAATGCTACAGCTGTCTGGTTCTTATCACCACTGCTGTGAAAAATATTGAGTCTGCAAGTGTCTCTAAAGTAGGGGATTTCATAATAAACCACTCTGAATGTCTTTGTTTATAAGTTAATAATTTAATTATGCAGAATCTTTACCCTTTAACTCTTACAGTGATCATCTAGGCTTGATTCATGCAGTGTTAAATTTAACGCAAACAGATTAGTGTTAATTCAACACTGGCATTTTACTGAAATACTGTGCTTAAATCTGTACCTTTCTCTTCACAAATTTATCCCAGTAATTACTTGGATAAGACCTGAGAAATGACAAAACAGAGCAGGTTTATTTCTGCTGTAGGAAGATGAACAACACTTACGGCAGGTTTGTAACGCAGTCACAGGCACTTACGGAGTGTTAATGACCAGTCTGTCCCACTGGCCTTTGATATCATCTTCAGAAGGTTGCTTTGTCACATAGACACCATCAAACTCCATCTTGCGTGCCAGTTCCTTCTCCCGCTTAAAGATCACTAAGGGAACCTGAGAGACACATACAGCAAACAGCTACAAAACATAAATATATAGAATATGTGTAGTTGTGTTTATGTGTATATGTGTGTGTGTGTGTGTGTGTGTGTATATATGTGTGTGTGTGTGAAATCTGATTCATGTGAGAGAGGCTCAGACTTAAACAGCAAACGAAGAAAATGGCTAAAATTTGGGGCAATAAATGTACAGTTGATCTATAGCAACACATTCAAGACAGACTCAACAATAGAGCCACATTCACACCAAAAGTCCATTTATTTAGGAAATATGCTGATTTATCTCATCACAACATACAGCGCATCCCCATAATACAGCCAATACAGAGAGATGCATTCAAACCCTCCTATGTTAATCATGTGTGTTTCACTTGTTTCTGCTGCCTGCCACTACAGAAGCATGCATAAGTAGTGGGTTTAGTAGGGCATGAAGATCAGATGGTGGGGGCATTGCCCCACTGAATGGTCCCCTGAAGGTGGACCTGCATTTACCCTATGGATATTCATGTGATTTTCAAGATCAGGTTCATGTGAAGATAAAAACTCAAGAAAACAATGTTAATAAATTAATTGAAAGTAATACTATTGAGCTAATCCTATTGGCTAAAATTTGAGCAAATAAGACGAATGTAGTTTTGTATAACTTGTGGTTACGCAGAAAATAATGCAATTAATTGTGATAAATTACTTGAATTGCTGGACAGCCCTTTTTAATTTATACATTCATTTATATGTTTATTTCTAAATGTGTATATATTTAAACAGTATATCGCTGCTGTTGGAAGAAAACGTCAAAAATCTCTATTTTTGACGTTTTTAAAAACCTGTTGCCTATTAGATTGTGTGTAAATTTCATGATGAATGGACTAAAAGAAATGAACCAAAATGACTTGGAAAAAATTCTGTTTCCACTGACTTACATTAAAATGTAAAGTATGTTTTTTCCTTCTCCTGTAAAGTTATCATTTTGGAGATACAAGGTTTTCTTCCGACAACAGCGAAATATTTATGTTGCTGTAAAACAAAACACACATATCCCCCCATGGATAAGTAAAGTAATTCTGTCTACTTATAGTTTGACTGCCAGATGCAGCGTAGACAACCACAGGCAGTGGCATCAAAATATCCGCATAAATCAGTCGGTGAAATTTAAACAAACTCATTCAGAGTGGTTTGATGTGAAATGATGTGAGATGTTTCACTGTAGAGAAACTTACAGACTCAGATTTAATTACAATGGTGGTGATGGGAACCAGGGGTCACCATGTCTACAACACAAATATAACTATTTTATTTACTATCTCAAATGACCAGTAAACCTACATGTGTCTTCTGAGTTTTTAAAAGTTATGCCGATAATGGTAAAATAGTGGTAAAGATGAAAAAATAAGTTTTCTTTGAGGATTATTTTCTTTATAATATCCTGCCTGCTCCTCTCTACCATCAACGTATTTTTAAAAATATGTTTTAGGACCGAAACTTTATTACAAACTATTGTAAAGCAATGCTTCAGGCATCAGGCAGTGTTTGCATAAATATTTGGTGTAATAACTTTCTATGAGGGAGCTTAACCTACTAAGAGGCATTAAACTACTTAGACGTCTGGTTCCTATCCCCACCACTGTGAATAACTCCGACTGTGTGAGTTTCTCTAGAATGGCGCATTTCGCATGAAACCACTTTAAATGACTTTACATCATAACAATTTAATTATGCAGCACTTTTGAAAAATCAGTGGAATTCACTTTCAAGTTGAAACCTTCAAATAAAGTGTTTTCACTCAGCATTGAGTAACACTAGCAAGCATGACTAATGCTCATAAGGAAACTGATCTTGGGTCTCAGCCCCCTCAGTTCAAAGCCATATTGTAAAGGTGGGCATCATTCCAGGGAGTCACAAACTGATGGAGTTACTTTATGAATTCACCACACCAGAGCTGTTCAAGGATTCAGTCCTCAAGGAGCCACACTTTGTTCTCTACACCTTTGTTCTATTCGAGCTCCACACACACCTGGAGCGAGGTAATCAACTTTTGTAGAGTGCTGATTAACTGGCGCAGGTGTGCTGGAATAACAGAACCAAATCCATTACTGCAAAGCTGCCAGAAGATAAAGGTTTAATATGTGAGTGAACATGTGCAGCTTGCATATATCTGCAAAACCAGACTTGCCTTCAGACAGTAGTAGCCAATGATAGAACAGAAAGCAATAAGAGTGTGTAAGACAGCTAGACAGCGGAGAACAGGCTCCATGTAACCGCTTTCCCCCAGGACAAAACACACAGCCCCTCCATTCTCTTCTCTGAGATCAGTCACACGTTCCTCAGTTCCACCATCAGCTTCGTTGGAGGACACCTGGTACAGACAGAAGCCACACTCACTGTCCATTTTGTTAGAAACACCAACCCTTCACTAATAGTCCACTTTATGAGCTCCATTATATAGCTGTATAATTACAGACTGTAGCCCATCTGTTGTTGCTGTTGGTCTGTTTCTGATCACAGGGCTGTTGCTGTCCAGATATTATTTGGGTGGTAGACCATTCTCAGCACAGCAGCAACACTGACATGGTAGCAAGAAGCAAGATGGTGCTATAAGGTAGTGGTTTCTAATAAAGTGTCTGAGTATATCCAGAATACAATGATACAATTTCAGTTAATTAGCACACTTTATCTATGGAGAGAAAACTGAAATGCAATCACTGCAGTGGAAAAACGTGAAATTCAATGCACATATGACATTATTTTTTAATAGTGACACGCAGAATATGTGAAAAAATGAAAAACAAAACCTCTTTTACATTGTTTCCACGTCGCTTGACCTCTTTACTGAAAAACAATGCATGATGATTTGCATTTTAAATGTTGAATTCATGTCAGAGTTGAATACAATCCAAAAAAGCCTCGTATCTCCAAAATGGTAACTTTACAGGAGAAGGAAAAAAGCTACTTTACTTTTAATGTAAATGGAACCAGACTTTTTTCCCCCAAGTCATTTTGGGCCATTTCTTTTGGTCCATTCATCATTAAGTTTACACACAATGTAAAGAGCAACAGGCATTTTCAAATGATATCAAAAACTGAAAAACGGCAAAAGTAGAGATATGAGGTTGAATAATGTTAAAACAATGTTAAATCAATGTAATGGATCTTTTACTTATCATTTTGGCCTGTTTTCCACATTACTGTGTAAATGCAGTCTTATGCCTGAATGGCATTTCACTGTGTTGGTTGTATTTCAATGAAGTACAAAAAAGAGGTTAAGAGACATGAAAACACTGTAACGGGGGTTTTGCTTTTCATTTCACGTCACCTATGGGAAAGTAATGTGTGCACTGTATTTTTACTGTTTTAACTGATATGACTGTACTTCAACGAAGAAAATCCGGTAACACTTTCTATGAATGTCACCTTTGTAAGCATCTATAAACACATTTATAACATGTTATAATGTATTCATAAGGCATTATAAACATGGTTATAAATATTTATAAATAAGAATGACACTTTATAGCCATGTTTATTATACATTATGAATTGTTACTATAATGCATTATAAATAGTGTTAATAACATGTTATAATGTCAGTGCCAAAGAAGTCAGTCCCAGCTTGGAGAGCATAAAGACAAATACCAAGCTAACGGTGGTGTACATTACCTTTCCCACACTGGGTAAAACACTGATGGCAGCCCTAGTTTAAAATCTGACATTTGAAGCCTGTAATGTGCTTTACTGTGTATGTTTTAGTGTTTCAGTAAATCCTTCAGTAAATACTTCAACTTGAAGCCTCACTCTTAACACTGGAGGAGGCTTTAGTACAGTACGCTTCACTTTACTTAGAGCGGACAAATACAACTTATGAGCTCTTATAATTTGTTATGATCAGTACTTATAATCTATTGTGTTAACAATTCATAATGCATGATAAACATGGCTATAACGTATAATGCATTTTTATAAATATTTATAGCTATGTTTATAATGTCTTATGAATGCATTATAACATGTTATGAATGTGTTCATAGATGCTTATAAAGGTGACATTCATAGAAAGTGTTACCGAAAATCCTTTCAAAGTACTACACAGTGAAAAGCAAGTCATGCTTTCATTACATTTTAAAGTGGATTGCGTTCAATTCTGACACAAATTCAGCATTTTATTTTTTTCATGCAAATCATCATGCATTGTTTTTTCTGTGAAGAGGTCAAACGATGGTAAAACAACACAATTCTGGTAATTGGTAAAGTGATGTCACAAGTGATTCACATTTTTCCACTGTAGTGACTGCCTTTCAATTTGACATGAATTCCTCTCCACACATTATCACTCAGTAATGTGTAATAGAACAGATTCATTCTTTATTATCACTCAATGTACAGATTTTACTCTAAAAGAAGGTTGATTCAATATGATTGCATGTAAATAGAAGGCTAAGGTGTACATATGTTTCACCTTGTAGAACAGAAGGATGAAATTGATGGTGAAAGCCACACACAGCGCTAGCACTCGCATGTTGTAGAAATTCCTGGCAAAATAATTCTGTGGAAAACAGACATACTAGTTATGACATATCAGATATTTCACATATATGAGCCAAGAGTCTGTGAAAAAAAATGCCAGACGAAGTGGGAGAGTGAGAGAGAACAGAAATAAAAATAAGAATGGAAAAGACCACAAGAAAGAAAAACAAAAAGGGTGATAAATAGCCGCCTTACGAGCAGTTTAGTCTTCCGAGAGCAGATCATTTTCCAAGCAGCTGATTCCTGAACATCTGGCTCCACTGCCTTGTGCGAGCTGGCTTTCCTGATTCTTCTTCTGGGCTTCTGCTCCTTCCTCGTATCCTTCTTCTCATCTTCCTCTCTTCTAAAAAAAAGACACATTTTTCATTTTTGCTCAATAAAAACGTTTTTTTCTGAACAGTAAAATCAAAAAACTGAGGAGCAACTAAAATGAAATCAAAACTGATCTAATGCTGCAGTTGAGACTTTTTTTTGGACAGTTGGGGCAAAAAAAGACTGATTCTAAATAAGGTGTAAATCCACTCTTCATGAAACTGGGGAGAAAAATCCTCAGGCATGAATGTTTGTCATACATGCCATGAAAGCTTGTAAAAAACATAATGTATTCCACCAAATGTACTTACTCAGCCTTTTCAGTCTCGGACTGCTTCTCTTGCTCCTCCAAATCTTCCTCAGACACAACGACCTGCTGTCACATATCACACACAGAAAACTCAAAATTCACACACTGTAGAGCTCAACTGACAGATTAATTAGCAGAGTTTTGGTCTATAAACATTGACAAAAGTATAAAACCTGGAATTTGGAGGGATTGACCAGGTCGCTGAGGCTTTCACTTGACTCTCTGGTCAGCAAAGTATAATGCCCTCCTTTCTTTCTCAGCTGGAGGCCGAATATATCAGTAAGCAGCTGAGGGTTTCTGGACACGGCTGACAAATTGAGGCTCACCGCCCTCAGTACATCCTGAGATGAGAGGGTGTGTGTCTGACCCAGTACCTCAGTGACGCCCTCGTTGACCCCTGTGACCTCATCCAGGGTGGGGTCCTGTAAACTGCCAAAGAGTTCAGAGAATTTCGTCTCTTTGGCAACTTCAATAATCCATCCGCTCAGAAAGACGAGGTAGAGCAGATTGATGAAGAAGCAAATGATGCCTAAAATTATATGAACAACGCCTTTTAGAACATTCTGGAAAAAGAAAAAGATGGCCAATAATAAGCCCCTCACGGTCGTCTTTTTCATCCACTTCCTCAAGTTCTTTACTGAGAGGAGAGAAAGGATCATCATCAAGCCATATAGAGGGGCCAGGAGGATGTATTTCATCTTTGAAGAGAAAGATGAGAAAAAGCCTCTTGGCTTTTCAGCGTCGCCTTTTTCTTCACAGACATTTCCATCCTTCTCTTTTCTTTCCTCCGTTCCATTCTTTTCTATCCCCTTGGCCTCCTCCCCACGGTCAGAGCCAGAGATCTGAGAGGCCAGCTGCATCTCAAAGATGGTGTCCTCACAGAAGTTAACGAACAACTCCATCTTCTCTTTCTCTCCTCCCTCATTCACCATGTCAAAGATGAACTGGCGCTTGCTCTCCTTCACCTGGGTCATTAAAAATATCAAAAAACAATATGTTGTTAGAAATTAAGTGCAACAACAAGGCATTTGTGCAGTACTATTCACTAAGCCAACTATCGTCCTTTCCAAATAACATTAAAATTTCTACCTTCCACAGCACCTTTCCTGCTACATACTTTGGCCCAATCCCATTTCTTATTTTTACCCCTACCCTTGTTTTCATTCATCACCTTGCCCCTTGGAACTGAGTTAGAAGGGGTAGTGGTTGAAATCTTTCCTTATGAAATGGGACCCTCAAATAAAAAAGAGCACTACTTCATTAACAGGCTACTAGCGCTGCTCTGTAGATGAGCCTGCCAGTCTGCAGTGACAGCAGAGGGTAAAGTTCAGTAACCTCACTGCTGGGCTTTAGTTGCATTTAGGGAATCATATGCCTTCAATGATGAGGATGAGACAATTATTTATTATCGCCCACCCCTAATTCTTCAGTGATATGAAGCTGAAGTCAGTTGTTCGAATTTTCCTGCTCCACCTTAAATGGTGCAGCAGCTCTGATGCCTGAGGTGTCAGAACGTAACTGCAGCACCATTTAAGGTGGAACGGGAATTTTAGCTCGCTAGCTACTGAGACATTAGCATACTACTAGTGATTTTTATGCTTGTTATGAAGAAAAGGACCATAATGAAACAACATTAAACTAAGGTAATATAATGGTTATTATCATTTTTAACAGAGAAAAATCTCACATTTGTGGGTTTCTTTGGTCGCTTGCCAGTTTTTCTTTTTCTTTTCTTTGTAGCCCCAACACTTCACCCTACCCCCCCATCTCAACAAAAATTGGGACACCCTACCCCTAGATGTGAAAGCGCAAAACGGAGGGGTAGGGCTAAGTGCTAGGGGCAAGGGGTGAAGTGGAATTGGGCCTTTGTCATGATGTCCTGAAATGACTTTTAATTAAGAAAAGAAGAGGAGACATTACCAATGAGTTTAATTATATTTGTCTTACTGTATTTTAGTATAAGATTCTGCAAAACATACGTTAAAATTTTTGCCTGGCACTGTACCTTTAAGAAATCATCGTTCATTACCTGTGGTTTCTCCCACTGCATGCGGCTCGATTCACTAATCTCAAAGTAGACCCTCTCGATACGCTTCCCGCTGCCCATTATCTCGATCCTGCCCAGGTGAGGCTGGAAGTACCTCAGCACACTTTCAGCCACCTCAAGAAAGTTCTGCAGCCGAGTGTCATGAGGCATGTGCTCGGACAGGTTGGTCAGGAGAACCGCCACGTTGAAGCCGATGTCTTTGGCTGGTTCATGAAAGCGGCTCACGAAGGCCCGGTAATCCAAGAGCTTGTTTTCGTTCATCTCCACGCACGACAGGAGAAACTCTATCTCAGATAGCGTGTAGCGCTTGTAGCCCTCCATGGCCCTCTGGAAGTCCTTCTTGGAGATGAGCCCATGCCCATCTGGGTCATATTCTTTGAAGGAGTCGGAAGACACGAGGTCTTTGAGCTTCAGGAACATATCGAAAAACTTGAGGATCATCTCAACGTTGCTGGATGATTCCACCAGCATGTCTACCATCTGCTTGCCAATTGTCCCATTTACCACATTTCCTAGAACAGGTAACAATAACACAATTTAAAGTGTGCAGGAGATGTTGTTGTTCATGAACCAGTCATGTTATTATGTTATAATTAATGTTAATTGGGCAGTCCTTTTGTCCCTCACTTCACTCATTATCAGCTTTTATTACTACACTCTTAAAAAAGAAGGTTCTTCAATGGTTCTTTAGTAAAGAAAATGGTTCTATATATAGAACCATAAATGCCCTTTGCATAACTAAAGGGTCCTTTGCTTCATGAGATGGTTCTTCAGACTGATGGAGAATGTGCTGTAGATGCTTCCATAAAGAAACTTTTTGAAAAACCCAAAAGGGTTCTGCTATTGTAAAAATGTCAAGCTTGTAACAATAGAAGAACCCTTTTGGTGCTATATAGAACCCTTTTCACAAAGGTTTTATATAGAACCAGCACATTCTCCATCAATCTGAAGAACCATTTCATGATCCAAAGAATCCTTTAATCATGCAAAGGGTTCTATGAGTGTTCATGGTTCTATATAGAACCATTTTCTTTACTTAGGAACCCTTGAAGAGCCATCTTCTTTACATGTGCAAGTTATTGAAGTCATTAAAGTTACTAGATGATTTTTGTTTATTTCTAAGTGGTTGATAAAAAGAATAAAATAACGACAATTAAATTCACTCATTAAAAAAGTGAGCAGAGCTGTTCCCGTGACGTTTCAGGAATAGAAAACCAAATTCTTGAAATATAGTTCTAACCTTCTAGCAAAGACAGCAGCATCACCACCATGTCTTTAAGTAGATCCATCAGTTCCTTCAGCAGCTCAATCTGACTGGAATCCTGGAAACAGCATAATACAGTCACCTCAAATATGTTCAGTAAATATTTAATTAATCAAGTGTCTTTATGCCACATTGTCACATATATGTTTTATATAGTATAACAGTTTTACTTTATTAAGAAGTGTTTTTATGCTAAATCAACAACGCTTAAAATTAATTTAAGTGATTTCATATGAAATGAGTTTCAACACATCCAGTGATTCAGAGAGCCTATATTCTGCCTCGTAAGACTTGTTTTGGGGTCTTTTGCTCTTGCAAACCTGAGATAGTTTCATCTGCATGTGGGCAAAGACGTGCAAGAAGCCCACCACAGCGTCCCACAGGCGACTATGTGCCAGACTCTGCTGGTTCCCAGTGCATGGACCCTGAAAAACATTCAAACAGTGATGAAGCACACACTATGAACACACACAGAATAAACACAAAAAGATTAATGTGTTTCTTGTAGCACAACAAGGATGTTCAATGAGGCATAACTAGAGCTGAAATCAAGACTGTTGAATATAAATTTCTATTGTCTCTTCTCCTGCTGTGCTTGTGCCCTACATTATTTATAAATTAAAAAATCTTGTGTTGTTTTTACACTTTTATTTTTTTATGTTTATGAGCTTAACAGCAATGTGAAATGTAAGAGGACATTTTTTTTTCTTTTTATTTTCTTATTCTATTCACTTATACTGTATTGTTGCCATAATGCCATGCTGTACTGATAAAAGTGTTGCATTGAATTTACTTGATTCTACTGTGTACTTCAGATCCACATAATTAAAATGCATTACACTGATATTCTTGCCCCAAGTAAGTAAAATGTTTTGTATTTGTGTTAATGTAACATATTTCATGTGGATCCACGGATTTTTCAGTATGAATATAAATTATACCCGAAAATATCTATAAGTAAAAGGAAATCTTGTGTTGTGAAATACAAACTTTTACAGAGTGATACAGAGTGATTTTGGCAACACTTATAGACTACATACACAGGGCCTTCATAAAAAAATGCAAAAGCACTGATCAGCACATTTATAAAGCAACACTTGAATATTAATAAACAACTTATGTCAAAAATCACAAATAAATTACATTTCTTTGACACAAGATGCCTTTAATTAAAGTGATGGTAACTTGCTCCATTTCTGAAGTGTTATGAAGCATCATTCCCAAGTACTGGAATGTATAAGGCAGAGACCTAATTAGGAGCACCACATATCAGTTCTGTGAAAGACATAAGTGATAATTTCCATACATATTTTACATGTATGAATACTGTACTCCACTAAAAGAGGAAATACCCTTGGAAAAATATTACTTAAGTAAAAGAATTTCCTTCGGTGTATTTCTGTTTGAGCACAAAAGCACTTTTAAATTTTTTTAAACATATTTAAGCATCAAAATTAAAAGATCATATATAAGTATATATATATTATGTAATATTATTGAAATTAAGAAGGAGGCTATAGTGACTGCAGAGTTAACGCTTATGTTTGCAGACACACAGGTCCCCTTAATAGAAACTGTAAACTGTGCTCAAGTTGACAGGCACAGAACTAATAAACTGCGTTTGTAACTAGGCATCTGGTTACTTCTAAATGAATGCTTCATAACTGTTCATAACGGAACAAATGTCCATCACTTTAGTTTAAGGCCTCTTATGCCAATACAATGTCATTTACTTTATAAAACATCGGATGTCATCTTGTGATCTGTGGCATCAGCTCTTCATCAATGCTCAAGCACTGCTTTACAAATGTTAGTCAATGCTTATATATGTGTTAGAAAGTCAATAGTTAGGTAGCCTTGAAATAAAGTGCTACCATGACTTTTTTTCTTAGATCTGTGGTTCTCCAACCCCTTACAGGGCCTGCACCTGTGAGCAGGCCCACAGTTTTATTACACACTTCTATGACATAAGAATAGCTCAACCAGTTTGCACTGAAGACCCTAAATTGCTGAATAATAAGACTCAGTACATACCTAACCTGGGATTTTAAGGGGTTAAGTATTTTCATACCGTACATTTATTTGCATGTTGTCTTGGGCTAAACCCAAGGATACCCAAGGGTTTCTCATCCAAAATGTTTCTCCTCACCTGAATATATTCAGTAAGTGTATTGAAGACTTGCTTGGCCACCCTGATGGCCTTGGAGAAGTTGCGTTGGCCGTGGTCATCGATCACATCTTTCCCAGAGTAATACCAGTAGAAGTCACTGATAGATTCCTGAACAGAACAAACGATCAAGTACTGTCAAGTATATTCACTACTGAATATTGATCCTGTTTCATAATTTCATAATTAACCTTATCCCTTGTTCTGGTGTGGTGAGTGAATATATATACCCACTGTGACAACTTAGGGGAGCTGATTTACCTGCACTCTGAGCAGGTAGTCCACAGTGGAGATGATGATATTGACTGTGGTGTTGTTTCCTGTCTGAGTCCTCAAATAATTCTGAAAATCTATGCCAAAGTAGTAAGAAAAGGAACATTTTTTTTTACTATTCCTACTTTTCAAATGCAGTTGAAAGAGCTGTGCAGGCACATTAACAAAGAAACAACAAAGCCTCGTACAAACATAAAAAGATAAAACACATTAAAGGATTTAATGTACACTCAAAGAGAAAAACGCATTAAACAAGTGATGCCAAAAAGTAAAGGAAAAGGAAAACAAGCAGAGTAAATACAAGCATAATGCTGATTGTGGTTATATAAGGCGTATTCAAATGAGTGTAAAATCTTAATCTGACAATGTATTCAAAGTAATCTCAAGTCTATATTGACCACATAGTTGGCAATTTCAGAAGTTGAGCACAGAAAACAACTACTAAGTTGTTTCTGTGGTCGAATATGATGACAAACACCTGTATTATGTCCTTCACAAAGCAGCTGAAGAAACCGGAAGAGGTCACAGGTCAACTGCTCATCTGCCATAACCTTATCACCTAAAACCAAGAAAGAGAGAGAGAGGGATAAGAGACAATGTGACAGACAGGCAGATAAAGTAGCCCACAAGTAGACCACTGCAGATATCCCTGCTTTTCTCTCAGTGGCTAACATTACATTTCAAAGACTCTTTCCAAAATTTAGCAAATTGCTCCAGATGTCTGAGATGCACCTGTGTTGTCTTCAGCTGCCACTGCTAAGCCCTCAGCTTTGATCTGCCTCTCGAAAGCATTCAGATCCAACACACTGCAACACAGACGTGCAACACACAGAAGTGCTATACAGACAACTTAACACAAGGTGAAACTACAGACATCTGAATCTAACAGACTGTTGCACATGGGAACAACACAGAGCCTCAACCTACAGTCAAAACATTAACTTTGAAATAAGACTTAAGATTAAAAAAGCCAATTATAAATATGTGCTTTTGGACAAAATAGTATATTTGTTTGTCACTGAAAATAAAAGAAACTGCTTTTTAAGCTGTGACACGTTTTGCTTATTTCCTGGTCAGGAAAAAACGTCACTATTATACTGTATTAAAACTATTTGTATTTATAATAATATTAGTGAAAACACAGTTTACTATGCAGATAAATAGTTATGCTAAAACTTTTGCACAATATTGTATGTATAGTGTCATGCTTTTACCTGCAGGACTGCATGAGACCAGCCAGGCTGTGAAAGAATCCCACATCCCTTTTCTCTCTCAGGTAGTCCAGCATTTTCTGTCAGACACCAAAAAGAAGAAACTAAAAGAGGATCTTAGATTCCAGTCAAAGGCAAAGAAACATATTAATAATGTCACCTTAGTTAAAAAAGAAATTAGAAGGGGAACAATTCATACAGAAATTGAAATACTGAGATTAGCACTAGTTGTGATGATTTATAAATTAAACTTAAACATAAAATAAAACATTCACTGTCCACTTTATTAGAAACCCCTACTTCCACTCTGAAATCCACCTGTTTAATAAATCCACTTTATAGTTAAACAGACTGTAGCCATTTGCGGTCATGCACAATCTGTCTGTCACCCTGTATCCTATTCATCACTGGTTCATTTCTGACCACAGGACTAATATTGACCAGATATTATGTGGGTGGTGGACCACTCTCAGCACAGCAGTGATTCGCCATCCAAAACTATCCATCCATAAGCAGCTCTGTGGTCAGGACCTGAACACTGATGAAGGGCTGGAGGATGCCTAACACAAGCTGAGCATCAACTGATGGGCTAGAGTCTCTAACCTTTCACAAGCAAGGTGGAGCTACAAGGTAGGGGTTTCTAATAAAGTGGCCAGTGAGTGTATATGATCTGTGGTCATACTAAAACATGTACTGAAACTTACCTGCTGTACAGCAGTATTCCCTCCATTCAGGATGGCTATACCAAGCTGAAGAGTGGACGCCGCCACTGGCCCCATAGTACCTGTAAAACATGAAAAGGAACACACACTAGAGCATAACAGAAAGCGAGTCGGCATTCACTGACCTCTTCAAGGATCGGCCTGCTATTTCACATTTACAGAAGATAGCCTTGAAGCTGTTCTTGAGCTACATAAGTCCTCCAATGTCTAACGACTGGCTCTCTAAGCCGTGTGGCATTTGTCCATACAGGCATTGCACACTTAAAGGGAAGACTGCCCATCCGTTGTCCTTGAGGAACAGCGGTTCATTATGATTCCCTGCCAGCTCCAAATACAGCAGAGCAACATGATCAAAGGCTATATCACTCTGATCACGTGCTTCAGGTATACTGGGGCTGAGCAGAAGCGTGGCCTGGCTTAGTGCCATTAAGGGTAAGACAGACAGCCCAGTACAGTGTAAATATTACATCACAGTCTGCCAGAATCCTATTCCATGGCCAAAGATAACTAAGAAGAGAGCTTAAGGCAACACAGAGTTCCTATAAGTCACCAGTCAGAGCAATAAGTGAGAAATATAAGCCAAATGCATCTCACAGAGGTAAAGTGGACTCAATCTTTATGAACTGAATGCTAGCATATTTCCAGAGCTAAACAGTGATTTGAATTGTACTCCATTCTCCTAATATATTAAGGTCTGTGGGTCTTTGTGGACCTGCATGCTGGTACTGATATAAGAACACTTTGTGTGCTGTGTAGGAGCTGTAAGTTTGCTAACATCACCTTGAGATGTTCAGCTACCAGCTAAACCTCTGTCAAAATGGGCTGACTTAGCTTAGGATCAAAAACTAGCAAGTCGACGACTTTGCTAACACAGCAAAACATCAAGCAAGTGCAACAACACAAGACAAGTAAGCTAGCTAATAAGTTATTACTTATTGGTCCAACAGGAAGAAGGCCAGGGGCCATATTACAGAAACTTCCTAAGTCTGAAATCTTATCTTGTCTGCTTAGTCACCATGACAACTTTAGTTAGGACTGAATTTAGCACAGAAGCTATTACAGAACAACAGTTCTTAACTTCATCTTAATCTCATCTATTAATTCCAGATAAGAAAACAGTACTATAGACACATCCTAACATCCTAAGACAACCCCAGAGCTGTCTTAACTTCTGTTTTGACCGTCTGTTTCTATCATTTTGTGAAGTGACAGGCAGCACAGTTCACTATAACTGGCAGAATGACGTTACATTTATCTACACTGAAAACACTGCTTTGACTTGAGTTTTTTCCGTTGAGTTTTTACTGACAGTGTTTTAAAAATCTCAGAAACTGCAGACACGATCTCCACTGACCACTCTTATTACCTTTGTGTGCTAATGTTGATGAAAATTCATCAGATAAAATATTACAGTGATGGTGGGGAATAATGATACAGAGTTGAATGTGTGTCTGTTTATTAGGAGGAATAATGTTGACGCACTCGGCTAAAGCGTTTGGGAAACTGAAACTGAAACTGAAGAGCAGCGACGCTCTGATAAACAGTACGAAGCGGTGACACAATATTTGTAACTTCAAGTTTATATCTCTTTAGTTTTTGTTTACCTTTTTTACATCAGTAACGGTGTAACTAACTGGCGAACTAACTTGATTATTTTAATTATATGTTTACATTTCAGCTGTGAGCATATGGTCAGTTGCTAGGTAACAGACCTTACAGCTAGCTGAAGACCCATAGTAGTTGGTGTGTGATGTGGTACCAAAGATTGTTATGCAGTTGTCGCGACAAGTCTCACGCCCACTGTTACATAGTACAATAGCAGGCATTCTGCGCCCGGAGTGGCAATGACAGAGACACCATTCTCACTATTATAAGTCAGTGTACCAACAAAATGATTTTAATGTAAAACTATTAAATAATATTCTTTTAACTGCACCTGCCACTGTGTTCTTCTGTTTCACCTTATGGACAATCTGGCCAGCTGGTGTTGACCAAAGAATATACCTCTTTTTTCCAGGTTCCCACTCAGGAACTCTGAAATAACCATGAAAAAACTGCTGGTTTTTGACCAGCTACTCAAACAGCTCTAATCTCATAAAGCAAAGTGTGTTAAGAGCGTAGAAGCACAGAAAACAAACCCCAGAACCTGAATGTCTATTATTCACAAGAGATCGCAGAAGGATGCAATAGGTTGCACTGTGGTGGTCTGCTTACCTTTGCTGTCACTGAGCCTCTGTAGGACCATCTCTGCTGCTCCGCGATCATGTAATCGGGCCTGCTGATACAACAGCCTCTGCTTCTCCAGCTCTTTCTCCTGCAATCAATCAATCAATCAATCAATCAGCACACAATAAAAGGAGAAAATGTACAGACTTGAAACTCAAACTGGGATATTCTTCAAGAATCCTTGTGTTTATCAGTAACTGTTTCCAGCCTTCACAAAAACACCATGTCCACTTTATCAGAAACATCCACCTTGTATCTCTACTCACTGTCCACTTTATGAGCTTCATTTACCTTACAGATGCACTATACAGGTGCACAATTACAGACTGTAGCCCACCCCCCACGACTTTCATCATTGGTCAGTTTCTGACCACAGTTTTCCAAATGTTATTTGGGCGGTTGTTCATTCTTAGCACAGCAGTGACAACGACATGGCAGTCATAGCAGGTGTTGCTGGGGTATTTACACACATCAGCATCAGTACTAGGTTGAGAGTGGTCTGCCACCCAAAAATATCCAGCCAAGAGTGGCTTTGTGGTCACAAACTGACCACTGATGAAGGGCTAGAGAATGGCTGGTGTGTTCCTATTAAAATGGACGTGGAGTGCATGTTTCCCTAACAACTGCTTCTCTTTAATAAAGAAAAGAAATTATTGATATAACACATTGTTGTGCAGGGCTTGAATAAATGCCTGCAGAACCAACAGTCTTCAGTAGAGTCAGCAGAGGACCTCTATAAATCATCTTCATGGCTCACCTCAAAGGATTTCACCTCTTTATCATTATTATCGTCATCATCAGTCTGACAGCTCTACGGTGAAATCAGAACAGATCACTTTGGTCACAATGGTCATCTTAGAACTGTAAATACACTTTCTCAGGCAAAGGTACAGAGGTAAGGGTTGTGATGATATTAGGAAAACATCTTTTCAAGTAAGAGGATTAGGTAGGAGAAAGATTATATTTCTCTCAGCAGTAGCTCCTACCTTGGCCATGATGTCAGCATAGCCCAGGTACAGAGCATCCTCTTTTGGTTTGCTGTGGACATACAGGGAGAGAAAAACATAAATAATGGGCTTTGTGTCCCATACTGGGTCTCCTTGCTTGACCAATCAGCATTTGTTTGATGCACAGCACTGCAGAGTCACATGACACATAGGAGAGATTCTGGAGGCACTAATCTATGAGCCTCGATGAGCTTTGCTTTGCTTTTCAGTGTCTTGCAAATATGCTTACATGCATCTTTGCAGAAGTTTAGATCAGCCTTTATTCATCACACCCTTATTTAAACCATGCTGACTTGTTAAGTAATCTCAAAAAGACTAGCTTAAATGGTTTTGACACTATGACATACTGTTATCTACAAAAATGGAAAAAAGGGTGTCAGATTACTAGTAAAAACAGTAGTAGCAGTTCTGTCTGTACTTCTGTCCATGGCAAACTTCAGACATCAGACATGTCTTGGTCCCCAGTTGATGGACTACATTTGTGATAAGGAGGGAAATGTGTTGCCATTTACTGTACAACAGTGAAATGCTATTGTTACACACCCACAGGCACATACTCAGCCACACACAGTCACACACTCACCTCCTCTCACTTAGGGCACTTTGACGGAAGAAAGTGATGAGTTGATGAAGCGGGTCAGTCTTTTTGTTCTCCTTCGTTCCCTCTCTGCTCTCCTTCTTGAATCTCTCTCCATCTGTTGCTTTCTGATACAAAATGACATCTTCTTAAAAAGAGAATGTGAAAGGAAGAAACATACACTGATCGATGCCGATAGGTAAACAAAATTATGCTATGAACAAAATGAGCATGTAAGAGAGTGCAGCAGTCCAGGCAAATATAGGAGGCAAAAGATAAAATGTGACTACAAGCACTGTATAATGACCTGACAACACACCCACACACACAGTCCTGTCTTTATATTTTATATTTGTAAATAAATAAATATATATATATATATATATATATATATATATATATATATATATATACAAAACTACCTAATAAATATATATATATACATATATATAAACAAGAAAAAACTGAGGGCATCTGGAGTGTTAGGGAGGCTAGATGTAAGATAACTAAGTTCAGGTTTACAAATTAGTTTTTAGGTTGAGCATAGTTAGTAAATATGTAATCCTCCCACTAAGCAGGTGTAAGCACAAAAAATACAAAACATGACCCAGTACAAAAACTACAGAACGCCAAAGGCTAAAGTTGTTTCTTCAAGTGGTGCAACCATCATGAAATTGCAAGTTCCATCCTCATGGATGCCACAGCCATCAGCGGTCGGAAGTCCAAGATGGCATAATTAGCTCTCCCTCTCCCCCTATAACCGTGCAATGCTAGGGACCATGGTCGTCTGTTAGCTTGCATAACATAACTGGCAGTTATTCTTCTCTTGTCATGGTCCAACAACATTCAGGAAATTAGAAAATATGAGGTGGCTGGTTTCATGCAGAAGCATGTAGCCTTCAGCTTCCCAGCTTGGTAACTTGATGGGTAAAAAAGATAAGTTAGCTCATAAGTTCGACCAAAAAACACTAAACACTGCGGTTTTACTTTCCTGCTCGAAACATGCAAAAATGCAGCACAAGCTGCCGTTCATGTTTCCATGGCAGCATGTTTACGGATTAGTAGTGAACATGTCATCGTCAAGTTAAAGTGATAGTGTTTAGCGATTATTGCCGTGTTACACATTAGGTAGTTGTTACTATTTAAGACATGACTTATGGATTGTTAGTGCATCTGAATTTAGTGGAAAGACGAAAAAATTGAAATGTAACTAAGGATTAAGTGAAGACTTTACAAGTACAAACTTCGCAAAACAGGTGCAACGCAGTGCAGGTTCCAGCAAACAGTTGAACGCACACATACAGTGACTGAAACTCACTGCTAAATCTTCAATCAGCTTGTTCTCGTACAAGCCCTCCTCTGCCTCCACCCAGTTCTTTCTGTAGCTTTGCAGAAACAAATCCACTGCTCTGTGCCTATAAAGAATTAAAAATGCCCCAGCCACTGTCAACACACTGTAATGAAGAACATGTTTGTCTAAAACAAAGCAATAAATCAAACAGACGAATCAGATTTCCATGAATTTGACCACAGCCTCACCAGTGCAGGATGACAGACATGAGAACAGGAGACCAAACATTAGCTAGTAAGTTAGCTCACTATGTACAATGTTTTAGAGGAAATGAGCTGAATGAGTCTGTTACAAACATTTTCTAATTTCTGTGTGGAGTTGGTAGTAGTGTTGAGGATCTAGCAGTAAAGCACCTGGGCAGGTTGTAGAGAGGGGTCATCCTGAAACAGGCCACCACTGCCCGCTTCCTCTGCTTGGATAGCAGCTTCTGCCACACTGCTCTCTTATTCCTCTGAGGATGCTCGACCTGGGCGAATACAACACACAGCAAGGAATGGATGACGGATGGATGAATTAGAGCCTGGCTGATAGAAAATTCTGTGACCAATATTGATTTGACAGGGCTCAGAAATTACAATACCCAATAATTTCAGTTGAAAAATTGTAATATTTTATACTACTTTTAGTTGCACAGTGCTTTACTGACTGATGACAGTGTGTTCTGAATTGTCATTCATCTTGCATACAAATCTTTTCTAATTTCCCATCAGTTCTCTTTAAAGAAAAAGTTATTTTGTTATAACATTATATATTATTTAATTTTCATCACTGTATTCTATGCTAAATATTAGCTTTGGATGCTTTTTCATTTCTTTGCTGTTTTACCATGATAGCACTTTGTGTAACATACTCTGAAAAACATTTTTTTCTAAAGAAACCTTGTAACCTTATACAAACTTTTTAAATTTCATGACCTGACTTGATATCTGATTAGGTGAATGAACCAAAGTATAGATATTAATAAACGAACTAATAAACAAATCGAAATAAGTCAGCAAACACTAATTTCCAGACCTCAACAGCCATGCCTGTTAATTGAGCATGGCATGCAGAATGGCCTTCTCAGAAACAGCCACATAACAGGCTGGAGAAGGGAGTTCTTCCAAAGCAGACTTACCTGATCCAGATAGAAAAGGACACGAGCGATGGTCAGGATCCTCTCAACACGTAAGGATTCCACTGACCGATCAGAAATGTCCTTAGGAGAAAGAGTGAACGTGAGTTCTTTCAAAAAGAGTCTTAGAGCTTAGTTTATGTTTATAAGGTTAAAATTAATGTTCAGACTCATGAATGATTACAAGCCATTTCTTTACACTATGCTTAAAAGTAAGTTTTTTGTTTTGTAATTACACTGGCACAGTACTCCAAAAATGTGCCACTCACACTGAGAAAGCTGATCCGCTGGCTTCAGGCTTACCTCTTTCAGGTTGCTGTGAATGCATGCTCGAACCTCATCCTCTGTGTCTTTCTACAAGAGACAAACCACAGAGAGAGTGGCTTTATGTATGGACATGACAAGGCAGAAGTTTGTCTGCCTTCCTCACATACGGTGTATGCATGCAATCAGAGTCACTCCCTTTAGTGCCACATCACAGCAGAAGTCTGGGTTCATCAAGGCTACAGTTCAGCTTATAGTGATCTCAGGTTGAATTTCTTCGTTTAGGGCCTGCTCCAGCAGTGCAGATGGCAGAGAGCCTACCTCAGAGAAACGGCCCTTTGCCACAGCAATCAGGCCCCGATCGCCATGGCAACATTGGTTCAGCCCAATGGAGAGGAGCTTCTTCAGAGCGGCCACGATCAGTGAGGTGTGCGCCGAGTATCGCTCATCCTTGCTCCTCTTCATCTTCCTCCTCTCACCTTCACACACTCCACCCTGTTGGACATTCACTCGGCTCAATTTTTTTGTTCTCTTATATATTTATTATTCATATATATATATATATATATATATATATATATATATACCTACATATATATATATATATATATATATATATATACTGTGCATTTTAAATGTTTTCAAACTCAAAAAACAAGAAGGTTTTGTTCTGATAAAGATACTGCCTTCTGTATACTTCTATTTTATTTTATTTTATTGTTGTAAAATACAATAAAAATGTAAAAGACCAGTAGCCCTAAAGATTTTTGTCTTTTGTTTATTTTTAAAACGATTACGATAATTATAAATGTTAGATATCTGTTTGAACCACACTATGTTGTTGAACAGCATACATGTTGTTTAAACTATATTCTTGATCAATGACAAAGTTCCTCAACAGCTGAAAATCGCAGTCTTTGTGTTTTGCTGTGTTTTCCAGTGAAAAATAATACAGTGTTAAAGTTCAACTACTGATCTGCGCAGTGAATGGACACTTCATTCTCACTTCATTAAAACCAAAACAAGTCCAGAGAGCAAACCTTGGCCATTTGGCTGTTCCCACCGCCCACCAGAAATGTCATGTTGTTGATGTCATTCTGAACCACAAAGTTCTGCTCCTCCCACTTGAAGTTCTGCAAAATCAAATCACACACAGCTGAACACCACATATACTTTCCTTAAATAATGTAGCAAAAGGCAAAACAAACTGTACATACAATGCATGTTTTGATTTGTGGTAGTATGAAGTATTCAGGATATCAATCTTTAGGAAATGTTGTAAGTATTAGTATTGGAACTAGAGAAATGTCAAGCCCCTTCAAGAACACTGCTGAGTGCTGCATGCATCAAACAAAATGAGAATGAAAGCGTGCACGAGAGCAACTCACGTGAGATTTAGCCCAGAAAATGAAAACATCTGCTACCAGGAAGAAGAGCCTCTCAGCGTCTTCATTCATTTCTCTCAGCCAGCTCATTCTGACAAGAACATACAGTGTTTATTGTGAGCAGTACTTGATAAAATCATGCAACTGTACCTGTTATTTATTACTGGTAAATTATTATATTGCAGTCATATGCAATATACACTTACCAGCCACTTTATTAGAACCCCCTATTTGTAGCTCTACCTTGCTGATGCACAGTTTGTGACTGTAGTCTATCTATTGCACCGCAGTTTTTTGTCAGTCATCCTCTAGATCCTTCATCCTTCATGGTCAGCTTCTGACCACAGAGCTGCTCTTGGCTGGATATCTGCAGCTAGTGGACCACTCTCAACATAGCAGTGACACTGACACTGTGTCTGATACATTTGTACTAGTGCCACACATACAACCATGTCAGTGTTACTGCTGTGCTGAGAATGGTCCACCAAACAAATAATATATGGTGTAGACAGGAGCTGACAAATGGTGCAACCACAGATACAGCTAGAGCCCATGTGTCAAACACAAGGCCCACGACACAATCCTATCCAGCCCGCAAAACTATATTAATTTTCTATTAATATTAGCCCGTTTCACAACGCTCTGCACTACAGTCCCCAACATGCACTGCAACATAGTGTGTGCTCTGACTCTCCCACCACAACAGCAATCTATGGGACAGCAGTAACACCTCCACACCAGTCATATCACCAAACACACTAACTGCATTTCAGCTGCAGTTCAACCAATATAAACAACTAACGTCAGCTCAACAGCTCAGAAATTGAGCCTAAGAATTAATGAACTTGCAGCAAAGAAAGGATGCCAGTTGTCTAGCTCAAGCAAATAGGAAAGCTTAAAAGACTGAGCACCTGGGGTCATTTAAATTTTGAATATTTCAAGTATTCATATCAATATTTCAAGGTCTACTACAAGTGCCTATATTTCACTGTGGGGAATTTGGCATATTTTGAATAAACAATGGCCAGTTTGAGTTACAGCAAAATGTTAATTAAAGATTAAATAGAAACACAGGAGTTCTCTAGCCAACAGATTGCTGAGATTTTTAATATGGCCCTTTTAGTGGTCGAGTTCGACGCCCTTGAGCTAGAGTCCGTAACTGTACATCTACACAGTCAACCTATAAGGTAAGCGGAGTTCAAAGTGGACATCAAGTACGAAGGAGAGTTTCCTAAAAGTGGACAGTGAGTGTATAATCTTATACACAAAGAACCCTTCTGGTATCCATAATATAAAATGCAGGAGTTTAAGCTTTTGTGTACTTCAGGCAGCTGTAGCTTACCTATGATGGTCTACAAATGGGATGAGGAGGGGGTAAAAAGCATACAGATCTTGCACCATCACGGTAAACTTCCCCTGGATAGCAAGCTCCGCCTCTGCCAAATTGCCACACCCCTCCGTCTTCATCCGCTCCTCTTCCTGCAGCACCGACTCTGCCCTCTTCTTTAGTTTTTCCATCAAAGGCAGGAAATGACTCTTTAGGAGGCGGGGCTCCGCCTTATGAACAAGTGGCTGAACAAAAACTAAAATAATGGAAATGAGTTAGCTGGAAATACATGTTCAAAGCATCATGGGACTTCTGAAGCCTGTGCAATTAAAAAAAAAAGCAAGGACAAAAACTTCAGACACCCAGTATGTCTTGGCTGATCAACAACATTTGAGATAAACTGTGTATATTTGTTTTTTCACTAAGTCACTACTTAAAACTTGAAAACGATAATTTTTGACAATTATATATGCTATTATGTTTCTTTCTTATTTTTATTCAAGTGATTTCTGCAAGACGCAAATCACATTTGGTTAAGATGCACTCCTGTGCAAAAGTCCTCAGCAAAAGTCTTTAAACAGTTTTTAAAATATCACTCATCTGGGCAATAAATGTGTTTCTACAAGCACAAACACTGTATGACATTAAGGTAATTCATACAAACATTACTGCGGTAAAATGTTTTCAAAACAGTAGTTGATATCTTGTGAGCTGGATAGAAGAACACTTGGTTCCAGATTTCTTCTTGATGCCCCTAGCAATGAGATAGATTTGTTAAATTCCATCACTGCCACGCAAGACTGAGTGAGCCAACTGCTACTGGATGAGTAACTACAAATGATGCTGTGCTTCCTTGAGGAAATATTTGTAAATAATTAATTGAACACATTTACACTCATAAATCACTATTTCTTTGTATGAACGTTATTTGTATTTTTTAATAATAGTGTTTTGTGTGCACATAAGTGGTTATGACCCAGATAAATAGCTTTTTAAATATAATTTTCTCAAGGGCCTCGAATATTTGCACAGTACTTTATGTATGACTGGGCATACACTGTACGATTATTTGACCGATTTTAACCCGATTTGCTCTTTGCAAAAAATTTAGCGGAGCACGGAGACAGAGGAGCTGCGTGTAAAACACAGGCAAATAAGAGCCATTATCATGTTTATAATGTACAGATCCAGATGTAAAGACACTCTACAATTTCTGCTCAGCTGCCAGATTGTAGTTAGATATTTCTCCAGCTCTCACTGTATCAGGGCTTCTCACCACATTTTCATACCCAGTTTACATTTTTGCTGTGCATAAAAGCACAAACAGGTCCAGTAAGTTCAGCTTTGTTTGTGTCGTGTGATCTCTAAGGAGATCTGGGAGTTTGAGTTCCTATTCATAGCCCAAATGTGTTATTCATAGCCCATACTATACTGTGTTATACTCTCACTTTGCCTTGTCGTCTAGTGTGAGCGCCCTCACGACAAAAAAACAAGAATTTTTGTGACAAACTGACAATAAGTTTGTGATGCTCTCTGTTTTAGAAATCTTCTAAAATTTTTTAAATTGTGTATCGTATGCCCAGCCTATCCCAGTACCAACTCTAGGAGAAAAACCGTGTTTGATACAATAAAAGTTTGGTAGTAAACACAGACGATATCTGAAGATCTAAACTATCTTCAAAATGAATCCAACATTTTTACTCATGATAATTTTACAACTATGTATAACTACATAGTGTAAACGAATGTGTTACAGAATGACAACATCTCTAATGCTGTATTGGCATGGTGGCTTTGAAATCACTATTGTTCCGCACCTCACAGTGGTACGCAACTGGTGGCAGCACACAGCTATGAAAACACTGCCAGTGTGGCAGCTTTACCAGCAAAAATGGCTGAAGTTTAGCAGTGCTGATTGTTTATTTAAAGTAAAAAAAAAGGCATGCACTGTACTCTTTTAAATTTTTGTTGTATAACAATTGGTGTGTCTGGACTACAACAGTGAGACATTCAGAGACCCAAAAAACCCAATATTTGACTTATGAAAATAATGGAATATCCAGTTTGTCATCAGCCCTGTAAAGACAGCCTTAGAGTTCTAAGGGTTAAACATTTCCACTCACTTGCAATTTGTTTCATCCAGCTGCAGTCAGGTGTACCAAGCTGGGCGTGGATGATAGAGAGGCTTTGTCCCAGGAGGGTGTTGGTATCCCGTATTGTGAGACAGGAGCACGGCCTGTCTTGGAGCTCCTGAGCTTCTGGGTCAGTTGCTTCACCCCACCGGAACACATAGCTACACAGCATTGGACAGATGACCTCCATGACCCTGGACAGAAGGGCATGGCGGGCAGAAGACCCTGCCTCTGCCAGATCCTCGACTTCTGAGAAAGCTTCTTGCAGGGAAGGAAGGACTGTGCACAGCCCCTCAGTTGTAGTGGTCACATCTGCTCTAGCACAGGGAAAATAATTTAGAATGTATACAACTTCAGCCTCACCCTCGTCTGGCTAGCTAAGAGCTTTGATCATGAATTCATATTCTCTTTAAGAGCCTATAATCGATTGATTTTATCTAACACTGCATTTTCAGCGTTTGTTATTGTCTGTCACAAGTTGTTTTCAGACACAGCGGTTAAACAATTTCATTTTTATTAGCCTAAATTGCTAATATTTATAAGCCTACAGTGTTACTGATTTTTATATGATACTGGTGCAAAATAAGACTTCTCTCCTGTGGGTGGCCTAATAGCATGTTGCTCTTATTTATCAACCGTTAAAGCTAATATATTACTGTATTATTATAAGTTTGACTTTTATTGAAATTATTAGCTATACATGTAATACATTAACTTTTGACCACATTCTGTGTGCATGACCATATGTCCACATGGATGTACTTAAAAAAAGCATGTGTAGCATTTTGTGTGTTTGTGTGTGTGTTTTCATGCACTCATTACCTTCTTTCTCTTCATTGCTAATGTGGTTAAGTGACAGCTCCAGGAAACATACAGGAAAAGCAGCTGATAAGGCAGCAAGGCACTCCCCTAATAAAGGCCTCTGTCTATGAAAAGAGAGATAAGACATGGTTAGTTAGAACAACCTCACGGCAAAAACTGACAAGACAACATAGTCCAGAAGAAAAGGGATCCTAATCTAAGTCAAACGCTGCATTGACATGCCCCTGTTGGGGGGAAAAAAAAACATTCATGCCACAAAGCGAAACTGCTGTATAAACCGACGGTACATGTCTGATGATAAATCAAATAATTCATATATGACAAACTTGATCACAGTGTACATCATTTTATCAAGCTCTCTGTTAGGACGCTCTCAATGCACTGATTGGCTAACGTGTTTACATTCTGCTGTTGGAAGATTATTGCAGAAGCTTGAATTCAGTAATGATATGTGACTGGCAGCTGCATGCAGCCATCTGAACATTGCCATGGTAATGGCATTACTGCAGTGACAGTGGCTTTCATGCTTGAATCAGCATCTGGTTTATTCCACTCGTACAACTGAAAGCAAAAGTTGAAAAAAACAGAATTAAAAATTAAAAAACCAAAAATACACTTTAGGCCAAAACTATCACAAAACAATATCTCGGGTATCAAGCAATGAATTCATAACCACAACTTAATGGGATGTAGCTTTTAGAGCCATTAAATGCGACGGATGTCTGGTTCCTGGTACTATAATGGTAAACAATTCCGACTCAGTAAATTTCTCTAGAAAGGTGCATTTCACACCAAACAACTCTGAATGATTTTGTTCACATCTATACCTTTGAATGATTAAGTAATTTTGCAAAATTGGTGGAGTTCCCCTTTAAGCATTTCAGAACACTGAAGTTTAAAGTCAAAAGCATTTAGAACATTTAGAACACCTAATAACAGCTTGGCTATCATCTCAATTGACACACAAGACAATAACAATTACAACCGCAATAATACCTTTCCATAAGAGTGTTATTACAAGTGCCAAGACTGTACAGACTGCAAAGGATGCGGTAACAGCAGGCCTCCACTTCATCCACTGACAAAGAAGAAAAAAAATCAGGTCAATTTATGAAACAAATATGTTAAATATCACTGTTTTCGGGAGAAAACCTTGTATCTTGAAAATGGTAACTTTACAGGAAAAGGAAAAAAATGACTTTACTTTTAATGTAAGTCGGTGGAACCAGACTTTTTTCCAAGTCATCCATTTCTTTTGGTCCATTCTTCATTAAAATTAACATAAAATGTAAAGGGCAACAGGCATTTTCAAATTACATCAAAAACTGAAAAAGGAGATACAGGGATTTCGTCTGACAGCAGCAGTATACTGGTAAATCATCATATGAGGCCAATATACAATTGTTGTAAAGGGGTGTGAATTTATCACACCTAAAACTTTCAGTTAAGATCAATTATGATTATTCACTTACACCTTATTATATTTATTGAATTAAGTCTGAAGTTTCAGAAGTTTTCAACTAAAAGAAATTTGTTGCAATAAATAATTCTTATCATTAAAAAAAAACAAAAAAAACAAAACACTACCTGCTACAAAGCCAATTTAACCCTCGTCATGACCAAGTGCACAAAGAGAACTGAAATGGCAAAGAAATACATTCATACATGAGAGTGTCCAGAGGAAATCTCTACGCTTTATGCCTACTGTATCCGTAAAGTGCACCTAAGTCCACGAGAGGACCGAGATTTATTCAGTGCTGCAAGGAAGACATGGAAACGTCCATGTGTTTGTAAATGAGATGCTAATGAGTGCGTACAAGAGTAGAAGGGAGGGAAAGGGATGAATGATTCAAAGGGCTGCTCCACGGATGGGGTTTACAGCAGAGACGGGGCTTATCTCAATGAGGCCAGACAGATTCCTGCGGCGTGATTCAAACAGATTTCAAATGCGATTTGACCTGGGCCCTCGTGAGGCTGATTTTAGTTAGCAGAGACGTGGGGTCACAATCAAGGAAACACAATGGAGGCAGAGGAACTTCTGAGTGATAGAATCTTTTCTGCAGAAAGACTACTGACGGACTTTTGGGGTGAAAGTCAAAGTTATTACAAACTCATTGTTCTTCTGAACATTTGGACAGTCTCCGTAAGCAAGATTTAACAGGACAGACTTTGACGGACACCAGAGACAAACCTTTGACGCTGTGTAGATGCTGTTTAGATTCAGTTTCATCATCGACTGTCAATCTTTCCACCCATATGTCTATCCAGCCATGCCTCACATTCATTCGCTCATCCTTCAATCAACCTACCCATCCACCCGTGCCATCCATCAATCCGTCCACCCGTCTGGCCACTCATCTATTTACCAAACCATCCATGCTTCAACTAGCCTTCAGGCCTTTATGGTATCTATCCATCCTTCATGCCCTTCATCCATCCGTTCATCATTTTATACATCCGTAATCTACTCTATATGTCTGAATGTACCAATTTCAATTAGTATACTAAGATAGTTTAAGGTGCACCCATTGCTGACACAGGCATTCAATTGCGACACCCAGCATGTATAATCTCCTCAAAAGGAGCCTAAGGACACCATGTCCAGTGGCAAGCATCGGCTAGAGGGGCATAAAGCCCCCCCCCACTGGTGTGAAGTAGTGGAAGGGCATTCTCTGTAATAATGGAGCTCCACCCAATACCTTTGGGATGAGTTGGAGTGGTGTTTATGATCTAATCATTCAACATCAGTACTTGACCTCACTATTTCTCTTGTGGCTGAATGCAATCAAATCCTCACAGCAATGATCCAAGAGCAGACGCTGATACTGCAGCAAAAAAGGCCAATCTCCCTATTAATACCCAGGTGGTTACAATATTTTGATATGTAGTGTGTGTGACCTACCAATCAGGTCCTCAGAGCTGTGGCAATGGTCTATATGCCGGAACAGAGCGGTCAGTACTGGAATGAGTGCGGTGGTGGTGTAGGTCATCAGTTCTCCATCCCCTCTGGCTTGGACCCTGCTTTGACCATACGGTCCTGTGTTTACATTCTCCACAGCCAGCTCCAGATCCATTGCTGCACCCTCAAAGAATGAGCACAAGGCTGACCGTACACACTCCACCGTCTTCATCACTGCCCTACACGTTAAGAAACAAGACATGCTAACACCACAAAGCATGAAAATGAAGTCTGGCCAGGACAAAGTTAGTGTTGTGTAAAGGAAGCTAACAGAAAGCTAAAGTAAACAAACACACTATTAGTATTTAGTGTATTTTTAACTGAAACCAGGAGGTGACAATATAGAACACAAGAATGCAATGGAACAGTATTACAAAGTTGTTTAACCACTTTTCTTTTGTATTACTATGATCTAATGAAAAGCAGCATTAAAGACAACAGAGTATGTGCCTGTCAGACACACAACAAAAGCAACAAAATATTAAAATTCTAAAATCAAATGAACATAACCAAAACAGAAACGCAACACACAGCAGTGTTTTGACAGTCTTCATATTAGAGCTCAGTACTGTCCCTTACACTGGCACAGAGGTCGTCATCATGCAGCTCTGTTTCTGCCCAATTTGTGGCTTCACAGCAGAATTAGATTTTTAGGTACCAATAAAATAATCCTCCATTGCAGTAACAGGAAGCTTTGCTGAGACATCTAACACAGCATACCAACAACAAATGGTCTGAAGTTAACTCATAAATGGTCTTAAATGCTGCTAATTCACCCTTTAACCCTCACAAAATGGCAAAGAAGAGAAAGACTTAAGGCAAACATCGATAACTGAGAGATGAATGGACAGACTTATTTATGACCACTCCAGCTGGATTCCTGATACATTTAATCTGCAATAAGAAACTGTCAAACACTAAAAATTCGCAAAGCTGAAGTCGGCTTCTCGTTTGCCAGCTTCTTGTTTGAATTTGAAGCTGACTTCAGCCTCGTAAAAACTTGAATGTTGAGAGACATTTTACAAGACGCTATTCTACTTTTGTGGAAAAGTTTCCTGCCGGAGATGCGAGAAAAGCAGCTATGGCTGAGCCAAAGCTTAAAGCAGCGCAGAGTAAGTCTGTGTTTTCATTTAGATTACATTTTTTAGCCTATACTAGGACATTAGCATGCACTGAGATCTTTACAGCCAAGATGGTAAAACATTACATCAATAAAATAAACATAAAATGTTGTGGCTCCCAAGCTGAATTTATCCTTGTTGAAAGGACAAAATCTTTAGGTTGGCGACCCCTGATCTAGGACAACAAATTCAACTCATAAACTACGTAACAAGCCCTGTATGAGCTGAATTAGTAGTGTTGTAGCAGGGACAGCATTAAATATAGACTCCTCCAAGACTGTAATTGAGGAACAATGGTTTAGAGCTTTCTGAAAAACCTAATTATCCATGTCATTTGGCTGTGCTATACAGGCCCTGTCTCTCCTGAAAGCACTGTAACTTCATCAGATGAGCATCACAGCACCACCTACCTGGTATCGAGAGACTGTGCAAGAATCTGCAGGCAGCTCACCACAGACTGAGCATCCTTACCTGAAGACACAAGATATGTTATAAGATTATGATGGGACTAAAATGAGATAAGACAGCACACCAGCTACCCTGAAGTCTGCATAGAAAAGCCTTAATGCAGAGGTTCCCTTGTTTAATTCATTTCAACTCAGCAAATGTCAAAGCCCTTCGCATGTGAGCCACCCAAGTATAATTTATTTTAACTATTTCCAAAATATGTAATATTATTATGAATAAACAAGGAATGTTTTGTGTAAAATTAAATGCAGCTGCTTGTTTTTCACCATTACTTTGGTTACTGCTTCATACTCAAACTGATACTACAAAATTAATAAATAAAATTAATAAATAATAACTATTAACAAAAATAAGACACAATATTGTTTTATTCTAAAACTCACATGCTCGTTTGAATACCCAATTAAGTAAAAAAAAATTAGTTTGGACATCCGTATGTATTAGAACACCACATCCCATACCCCACCCCACCCCCAGGTCCTGATGTCCCCCCCAGATTAATGCATCAGAGTTACAGGAAATACTGAAACTATATTAAATTAAGTTAAATTAAATTAAACTACATAAAAAAAATCTGTTGTAGGGTATAGTAAAAGGCACAGACATAAAAGCTACTGCCAAATAAAAGAACATAAACCAAAGCTAAGTAAATAAATAAATACATAAACTAAGGCAGCCTCTGTGGAAACAAAGAGATGTGATTTAAAGTAAGATTCCTGTACAGGCCAGCCCTTACCAAAGAGAGAAATCCTACGTCTGGCCAGTGCTCCCAGTTTACAGAACAAACTTTGAAAAAAGAAGAAAGGAATGGATGAAAGCAAAGATAATCATGCCCAAAGCAAAGATAACTATCACTGCACATCAGATGTGCAATGACATAAAAGCAAAGTGGTGTAAAAAGCATCAAAAGTAAGAGAACAGATACGCGGTCTTCCAAAGGCCAGCACACACGTATAACTAAAAAGTCATTACCTTGTAACCATCTCTTTCTCTTTACTAGAGGCGTGACCACAGTTACTGAGGGGACACAGTGTTCTGGACAGGAAGTAGAGGTGATGATTCTTAAAATACTGATCCATTAGAGGCAGAATCACCTGGGAGACAGAAAGAGAAAGACACTGGTGTATAGAGGAGCACTGGGAACATCGAGTGCGTTTACATGCACTTAATAATCCAATAACTGCAGAAAATCAGTTTTTCTCAGTAATCCGATCAACACTTTTACATACACTTGAGTAATCAGATAATAAGGAAACTCCGGGTCTCCATGAGTCAGACAGTAAACGGATTTCTGTTTTGCAACAAGCCAATAAACACACAGAAGGTGGCGTAAACGTGATGTAAAACGCAAACTTCAGGCCACGGCTTTTTTTTTTTTAAAAACACTGCGTCACTTTACCTAAAAATGTAAACATACATCATCTAGAATATGAAGAATATTTAAATCCTTCATTTTGTCAAGCATATAGCTGGTTTCAGCGTCGCTCCAAAGGTGTTTTGCTGCATCTCACGGCGACGCTGCTCACTTATTTCTGGTACCGCAGTCTGTTTTCGCACATGCACAAACCGAGAAATCCATAAGAAATCAGAGTAAGAGTTTACATGTACTGAGAAATCTGATTACTGAGCTAAAATCCAGCTCTTTTAATCAGATTTCTTAATCGGATTTCTCCGATCTAAGAAAATCAGAATGTGCTGTTTACAAGACCATTTGAATAATCAGATAACTGCAGAAATCTGATTATGATCGGATTATTGAGTGCAGGTAAACACACTCATTGTCATTTTGGTCATTGACCATATGAGACAGCAGAGTATGTGCATACTAATATTAACAAAATATAAAATCTGTAAAATTACATGAGGCACATCTGTCGCATTTGCAAAGTGTATTCTCCAATTACTAGCCCATTTGGACAGGCTCTCAAATTTTTAGATCAATAAACAAATATAATTTTCCATAGTTACTGCCAATCTTTACCAAGGGTGCCAGAACACACTGCACCTTGTGCACAATGAATCTGCAAGTGTTAAAGCTTAAACTAACCTTGATGAAAAAATAGATCTGTTGTTCATGGGGCACCTTATCTGTCTTTCCCATTTGCCCTCGAGCCTGCACAACCTCTGCAGAGGATACACACCACACACACACAGAGACACACACATAATTTGGAAAACTACTCATGTGTAACTTAGCTCAGTTTTTGTCTTCCACTGGCAATCCAGCAGAATTGGCATCTATTTAAATTTAATGCTTCTGTGTCAAGGAACACTAAAATGTATGAATTTTAAATTCAAATTCCACAAACGTTGCTCTCACCAGAGTTTATGGATCATTACTGTGGTAATAACATGATGTGTTGTGCAGTAATATCACAGGTAGGGTGTAATTCAACATTCAGTGCCCTGCTTTAATATTGGGACAACAAGGTCCAATTTATTATTTTGAATGGTTACTCAAAAAATCTGAAGAAAAATAATGAATATAAGGTATTTCAACACAAACAATTTACCAGAAAAACTATCATATATTTTTGTACTATCACTTCATATTCACTATTATTTGATGTATTGTCTTTGGAAAAACCTTGGGGGTAATTTAAAGGTACAGGTCAATGAAACAATCTTCCTTTGCCACATTGGTGTCTGAAGTTTGCTGGTTTAGTTTACACTGGAGATACAAGGCTAATACAGCTAACAAGTAATGGAACCATTTTATACCCAGCTCCAGCATTTGCTCCTGTGCTTGCTCTGTGAAGGAAACGGCCCGCTGGAGCAGACAGTAGGCAAAGCGGCCGGCGATGGCAGGAGAATCCGCGTCTGCAGGCATCCGTTCCCTTAAAACAACAGTATAAAGGTCTACTAACTGTTCTGAAATTAACTTTGTCCAACCTCCAACAATACACACTATTGTTACAAGCATATACTAAAAATATTCTGCCCCAAATATGGTTTAATACCTGAACGTTTAAGTGCGTTGTACTTCAGGACTGCAGTTTGTACAAAGAATCCTTTTCTGTTTAATGTGGTAAGTTAGTACAAATTGACAAAAACATGCACATATATTATAGAGGTGCAACGATTATTCGACTTAGTCGACTAAAATCGACGACCAAATTAGTTGGCAACTAATTTAGTAGTTGATTAGTTGGTGACGTCATTACGCATCTTTCTCGCGCTGATTAGGAACGTTTTGGCATTACCGCTTACTGGAGAGTTAACAACTGCGCGATGGCAGCCTCAAGAACAAAATCCTCAAAAGTGTGGGAGCTAAACTCAGAAAAAAGGTTGTCAGTTGTGCTATTTGTAAAGCCAAACTTATCTGGCATGGAAGCACATCCTCCATGCAGGAGCATCTAAAGAGGACATGCATCGGCTCACTGGATGAAGAAGATTCATCTAAGTAAGATAGTTGTGTTAGCGAGCTAGCTAGCTAATGTTAATGTTAAATTCCATCCTACTTCATGTTCTAAGCTGAGCTGTAATATTTTCTATTTTGAAATGCTGCTCTCTGGAATCGTTAATGGAGTTGGAACAGAGAAGAAAGTAACTATTATTCACTGCGACCCTGTTCACGTTCCAAATAACGTTCACAGTTTTAAACACTGCATTGTCGTCTTAACGTCGAGGCCACTGGTGCGGTCAAATTCAGCAAACACAGGAGAGCGATTACAAACAGGTTTCTGCTCTCCGCCAATGTTTGTCGCCACTCGCAAACAGTTTAAGGAGGTAGTTCTTCATGAACACTCAGGGTAGCTGGACAAATGTTGAAATAAAGCGTTTACACGAAATCGTTCAAATTTAACTGTTCACCGAGAACAAGTTTTTCGCAAACGTTCGTCACTTTTCCCTCAGCTCCATCAGCGGGGAGTATCCGCTCTTAGAGGAGATCAGGAGAGCACAGAGAGATGCTGACTTTCCTCTGTTTCAATAAAGACCTGTGATGTAAAGTTTAGTTGCAGCAAAGTGTAGACAGACAGCAGAATGCACACAAATTGATTTTTTTATTTACTTGATTAAAGGAAAACTGATTTAGTTTTGTTATATTTTATTGCTGCTACTTTGCAGATCCTTGGTAATACATTTTGACAGGAAAATAAATTTAAGACTTTTACTATTTTATGTTTTGTAATATCAGGAAAGATCATTAAAACAGTGAATTTTTGAAGGTATTCATCTATATTGTCTTCATTGTTAGTGAAATTTAAGCTAAATTTAAAAGCTAACAGCTACATACAAGTTGTTTGGTAATGTAGTGATTCATAATCCGAATAATCGATTATTCGTTTCAGAAATTGATAGATTATTTTACTATCAAATTAGTCGTTTGTTGCAGCCCTAAATTATTATAAACCTTTTGAAAAGCTAGGTGTACATAAATCGTCCCCTTTATAAGGTTATATATTATAAGGTTCTAACTGTGTTCTGAGCAGTATTGAGATATTGAGCTTCAAAGATTTTGCATTCCAGTTAGTAAAACTGATATGTGGAACAAGTCTGTGTCATACATGAAAATGACAGACACCCTAAATTTATTCTAAATGTTCAATATCAAAATCCTATCAGATATGTAAATGAGTTTTTTTGGAACAGGTCAAATGCACACAGAACCGTCTCATCCAAAGAACTTTCTGCTTGATATATGACAAAACATGAAAAGAAGCAATGATTTTCAAGGAACATAAACAGTTTATACATAATTAATTTTAAAACATAAAGTTAGTGTTGTAACAGAGTGTCTACATTATCAGAAAGTGAAATTTAATGCATTCTATGACATTTTTAGGACATTTCTTGTTTTAGGACAAATTATCTTTTTCTTATTCAAAAGTGCATCGATTGAAAGATTAAGTATAAAGGTCAGTGCTAAATATTTTGTCCAGTGCAGAGTTCAATTCTAGGTAGAGACCATCAGTTTAAGTTTCCTTTAGGTTAGACAGAAACCAGCCACAGTAATAAACTGTCCCAGCAAGTAAGTGTAGCAGGTCAGTATAAAGGCTGTATAAGGTTTTGTCTCATATCAATGTGCCAAAATGTCTTGTTTGTGGAGAAAGAAAGGAAGATGGATGAATAAATGAAATTAATGTTTGTGTTGTAAGACCCCATCGATTTAAATGTTCACTATTTAATGACCTTGAAGGCTTAATATTTATAAAATCTAAGACAAAAAGACTTTTTAAATAACTGAAAGAAGACAGGCAGAGTTTCAGCAACATGTTTTCATGTTTCATAAAGTTTTATAAAGTTTTCCTGCAGTCACTAAGCAGAGCGGCGACATGACAAAGAGGCAGAACCTGATTGGTCCTCTTGTGTGTGTTGAAAGTGCTGACTGGCTCACAGATAGAACCCTATAGAACTAAGTTAGAGTTTGACTTTGGAGACAGAACCTTTTTGTTTTCTAAAAAAAGAGCCCAAAAATGCATAAAACTTAAAAACACACCTCGTATAATGTTAAGAAGTTGTCACAGAATAAGAACATGTGAATACCTCACTTTTGAGAAAAATGTCAGAAAGAACTTTATAATTCCACAGGGATTAAATGTTTGACTCTAGTTCACTTTCAGTCATATTTTTGTCATTAATTAAACTGCATAAACTGAACTGATCTACTGAATTTACCTGATTTTCAGCATTAAGAACACTTTAACTTTAGAACGAGTATTGAAATGGCACATACTCTGCCATATTAAAAAGGTATATCTAAATTTATGATACAATGGCTCTCTAAAGTAAGACTAGCATAAAGAAAATATGAGGTCAAGAAAAAGACAAGAACAGAAATGAAACAGGAACATGCATTTAAAAATAACTGTACATGTCTCCGCTAAATTCTTCAGTGTGAACAAGCAAGTCCATTGCAGGCTTAACATGAGCTTTATTACCCTCACCTCCACACAGTGTATCCGTTGATATGGAAGAACTTTAGCACATCCTGAGCTCGCTCTCGGACTCTGTTCTTTTCTCTGGCACTCAGAGACTCATAGGGCACCAGAAGTGGGTGACTGCCCCCTCCTGGACACAGACATTTACTACACCATCAACGTCATGTACAAGCACCATTCTACTCATGTGGTTCACTCATCTTATAGGTCAATTATTAGGGTTAGGCTTGTTGCCCTCTACATGCTAGAGTGTGTGGGGCTGCTATAGCCATATCAGACACATCAGCTGTCTTGCTGCAGTTTTTACACACGTCAGTGGAGGTGGAGGGTGGACCACCACCCAAAAGTGTGTCACTGTATGTAAAAGAAACCTTTAGCCTGCAGCTCCTGTTGCTTCCTCTTGGCCCAGATGTTGTGGTAGTTCTCTGCTAGCTGCTCTGCCATGGCCTGCAATACATCATATAATGAGACTGAGAGTGAGTTTTCTTATTATCTCTCAATATTCAACACAACGTCCAGCAGATCATCGTAACAAAGCGAACTGAAAGTTCAGTCTGCGGTCTTTGTGCTGCATATGTTTGCTGTGGTGAACACACTTACATACTGGTCCCAGGTCAATGTGATGCAGCTGGTGTCTACAGGTTTGGGGCTGAATGTGGAGGTTCCCTCAAACGAGAGCTTCGAGAAGAGAGATAAGAGCCCATTTGTGCTGCATTTAAAAGAGCGCAGTTTGTCCTTACAGAGGCTTTTCAGGCCACATGAAATCTACCTCATGTCCCTCTTGGATGAGGTTTCCCAATGATTTGAGGACTGTCCAATAACAATTTCCCTTACCTCTCCTAATTTATAAGTTATCTGGCTCACTAAAAAGATCTTCTTTAGACCTTCCTATTATTATTTAAATAAGTATTTATTTTTTGGAACTGTCTGTTACCTGCCCTGACTGTGAGATCCTCCTAGCTGGGTTATGAAGGCCCCTTGCTTCCCCTTCCTTTGTCCTATCGATGTTCCAGCCCAAGGCCAGCATGCTTTTCACAGTCTCTTTAATTGCTCCTCGGTAGCTTTCTTTATCCTGAAACAGAGCCCAGCCACAAGGAAAGATATTCAGCAGAACAGAAACACCAGAATCAACTGTAAGATTTTTAGAATAATCTTTTACTGAACTGTGCTCTGAGTTTGTGTTTAATACAGCATGTTTTTAATACTATTTTCAAGTGTGTGTGTGTTCCATACTCTCTCAGATAACGCTCTGTAGGGCTTCAGGAGAGGGTGAACTTTAGAGCTCTCACACATCTGCTCTCCGTGGACCCAACCATTAGCAAACTAGAAGAAAACATACAGTACTCAAGATATGTAGTAAACAAACAGGAACAAAGCACAATATGCAACATTCAGTGCATTCAATTGGTGAATTAATTTGTGCATAATACACAGCATTCAACATATTCAACCAGTGACTTTCAAATCACTATTAAAGTAGTAAAATAAAATCAACATACTTAATTTTCAATATGCAAATAAAGTCAGTATGCAAATAAAAAAGAATAGACCAAAAGACAGTCTGTAAAACAATATCAGTAGTCACTGAGTGTAGCTTATCTCCAAATTTCTTACCTTCTCCAGTGACCATTTCTCATGAGTGTGTTCTGCATACTTATTCACCACATAGTCCAGAGCCTCAGGCACGGTTACACTGGAAATGGTCAGGAACATTACACTGATAAAACTACACTGCTAAATTACTGATAGCTGAAGTAGCTCCTAAATTAAGATTTGCTGTCTTAACTCATAAGTCATAACTTTTAGGTCATAACTTTTAGACTTTTAGCTAAACATTCCCTTTAACCATCCTACACCTAATTAATTATAATTAAATGGTTATGTAACAAAAATGTATGTGTAGCAAAACAATAATAATAACTGGGGCTAATCCCCTGTGCTCTTACTTGGCAGTGTCCAGAGGCTGAGGGCAGAACCGCCCCTCTGAGTCCAGTGAGGAGTTTCTCTCCAACCCACCACTACACTTGGAATCAGTGTGGTCAGGAGGAATGGCCCCAGCCACAGCACTGAGGCAGCCTAAAGTCAGCTCGAACAGCTCTGCTTCGTAAGGCTTGAAAAGACAGTAAAGCAACCAAAAATGACAAACCTCACTCACACAGACCTTCTACAGTGTCCTGGGTGGCCAAAGTATGGTACAGTTGCGTGTTTTACTAAGTGTGGAATTTTGTAAGACATTTAATATTTTGCTGTAGGCCTCCTCAATTCTTCATTGGTCTGACCACAGGATTACTGCTGACCTGATATCCAGTCAAGAGTGGCTCCGCGGTCAGAAACTTACCATAGATGAAGAACTAAAGGACGGCTTACGAGGTGGAACTACAAAATCTACAAAACAGGTTTATTAAAGTTTGCTCATCGCCATCACTTGAACGCACCTTTTTGGTTAGAGCTCGGAATACACCCCAAAAGAGCTTTCTGCTTAGCTGTAGCTCCACCTCCGAGGCAGAGACAAAGCTGCCCTGCACACCGGTCATACAGTAGTACTTCCAGCTCCGCTCATAATGATCAGTCAGTAGCTGTAACAGTGAGCGTCACAGGTTTAGAAAAAACGAGATATGGAAGGTTCAATGGATTAATTTATATTCAATTGACTTTTCAGTCTTACATTAATATCTTAAATCTTAAAAATTCTTAGATCTTAAAAACCTTAAGTGGCATCTTGGTGTTCTCCGTCAGCTGGGTGACATCAAGCACAAGATTCCGCAGTAGAGGTTGTAACAGGGAGGGTTTCAATTTGCTGTAAATATCAATACATGAACTAATAAAGATATGGTCAAACAGTGTTCTTTTTTTATTATTATTTTCCCCAATTTTCTTCCCCAATTTAATCATATCCAATTCCGTCCACTATCTAGGACTCAATCATGCAGGCAAAGGCTAGCACAGGCTTTCTCTATAGCCAAATCTTTAAAGTCAGCTACCGCATCTTTTCAAACTGCCACTCATGCAACCTCACTGGACAGCCCATCGCGCCAGTTGGTTCTGTTAAGTCAGGTAACAGACTCCTGCGCTGACTAGCATCACGCTGAGTGATACGCTGAGTAATGGGAGCCATCCTACCCACCCAGAGAGAGTAAGGCCAGTTGTGCCCTTTTGGACTCTCAGCCACGGATGGCTGTAGCAAATGCAAAAAAATAGGTATAAAAACGGTACAATGGCCAAAAAGAAGAAAAAAACCCAGACAACAAAACACAAGTTTCAAAAGCCAAAAGAGACAAAACAGAGAAACATGATCTAAAACTGTAAAAAAAAAAAAAGTCAAGGCCTAGTGTAACACAAGTAAATACAGAAACACTCAGAACTGTAAGTAACCAAAAAGATTAGCAAAAATGACCTGAACACACTGTATACACAAGCTGCCCTTGCACTAAGCAATAGCATTAAAAAGCACAGATAAGCCTAGATAAGCATAGAAAAATGCAAAATATGTTTCCCTCATGCATATGCATTTGAAGGAGTATCATGCAAAAGGTGGACGGATTGTGCAGACCATAGGCGGCGATATTTGAAGTACAGTTAATATTAAACATTCCCTCGATTTAATAAGCTTTTTTAGCAATTAACATTGGCTGGTTTTGCACAGAATTTTCTCAACCTTTAAAAACCAGTTGTAAATATGTGTCAGCGTCTCAAAAGCATGTTAGGAGCCTTCCTTTAACAGTGGCAGCAGATTTAGCGGCTAAACAGAGAAACAAGCCTCAAACACATGCTGAAAGATTATCAACATTTTATGTGATAGAAACACAGCTCAGCACAACAGCACATCTCAACAGTCCTCACCCGCACACAGACAGCAAGCAGTCCTGGATGGAGTCCCTCTGGGCCTTGGTGAGGCTGCTGGCCTTGGAGAAACTGTAGAGCGCCTGTAGGAGAGCATCCACTGTAGCCAGTTGGACAGGAGATGGGTCACAAAGCAAGGAGGAGTATTTACTCAGCAACGGGAGCACAGCCACACACACGTAACGGTTCAGGGCTAGAGCCATGTCTGTACCCCCCAGACCAGTCTTCAGAGAGAGATGAATAGAAAATCAGAAATTAAGTCGTTAAGTAATCTCAAATTGACTTGCTTGTTAAATTGTATAAAACATAATTATCCGAGCTGTAGTATCAGATGAAAACGATGATTCTCTCACAGTATCCATGGTAACAGCGGCTTGCAGGTCAGGGAGGAAGCCTCTCTTGAGTAAACGAAGCAGTAACTCCTGGTCCTGGACTCCATAGACCCGGTCCAGAAACAGCACCATGGCTGCCTTATGATCCGGACAGAATAGCCTGGACATGTCCAGCTCCACAACTGAACCCTCTGTAACATTTTATAACATTTTAGCCACAATCACTTCCCATTTATATACTTTTACAACTGTAATCCTTACTGTCCCAACAACCCAAGTACGCCACATGAAAAGGTCAAGGTTTTTTTGCATGACTGCATGTATGAATACTTACTGTTCAATACTGACAGATAAAGTTGATCCAATTTAACAAATCGCAATAAGTAGAAAGGGAAAGTTCATGAACAAACTTTAAGTTGGTTCGAAAAAGCCAGCTAATTGCATTAAAACATTAAAATGGAACAATTATGTTGTTAAAATGTTGCTAAAATGTTGCTAAGTGGTTGCTGCAGTGTCCAAGGTGGATGGTAATGCGTTGCTAGGTGCCACCTTAAATTCTGCGCCACCTTAATTTTAGTGCCACCTTAAATTCAGTGTCACCTTAATTTTAGTGCTACCTTAAGTGAAGTTCCACCTAAATTTATTTTTTTCCATAAAATGGAGTTCCACCTTAAATGAAGTTCCACCTTAAATTCTTTTTCAAACCAACTTAATTATTATTGGCAATTATATATTAAACTAACAAAACTAAACCAAAATTTTGGACCAAAAATATTTTAGTTCTTTGAAAACAGAAAATGTGGAGAACACAAATGGTTGTACCTGCGTCCAGAAATGGGAGAGAAAAAGGGACACTGATGACCCCCTCAAGGTCCTTCATGGGGATCAAAGACCTCAGGATCTCCCTGATACGAACAGCCTCACCCTTACCAGCCTCTATCAACTAAACACAAACATACATACACACATTACAAATACTGCACAATGATTGCAGTGCTGTAATGAGAAATACAGGAAAGTGAACCAAAGTAACTTGCCATGTTAGAGAACCCAGAAATTTGCTGGGGCTTTTCTTAGCGTCTGAATGGTAAAACAGAATTCCAGAGTGATTCTGAGGGCACAATAACCTCTCACAATGTTCGCCTTAGAGTGAACGCCTTAAATCATTACATTAGCTGAATATATCCTAAAGTGCAATGTGAGTCTCTGAGGACAGAGGAACGTTACCTTAATGGCGGCTGTGAATACTGACGCAGGTTGATGATTAATTAATTTATGGATTTGTGCATTTTTATCACTACTTAGTAAACAGTTTACACCTCTATAGCACAGTACTAATGAGGGAGTGGAGATCCATCTCACTCACAGTCAGTGTGTCACTGTACCAGACACTTACATGCATTTCTGGGGCACAGCGGCCCAGCAGGTCTATGAGAGCAGAGTAGAAGGTCATTATAGCGTGTCCCATGTGGATGATGTCATCATCTTCATCATCAAGAGTATCACTGAGTGTGAAAGACAGGGGAGAACGTAAAATAAGTAAAATCACTTTATTGGAAACAGATAGAGAAATAGATAGAAAGACAGATGAAGAGAGAAAACAGTAACTAACAGTGTGCTACTAGACTGGTACGCTCTGGAAGAACCATCTCTGCTCTGGTCTTCGGAGATCTTGATGGCTTCCTCTATGGTTGCTAAGAGACCGTCTCCCCCCTCCCCTCGCAGGGCGGGGCCAAAGCACTCAGGCCTACGAATCAGGAGCCTCACCACCACATAAGCATTCTCTTCTACACTTTCACCTACACAATGAAAACATGACAATCAACAATCAGTGGAAAATCATTTATTCATTTATCACTTAAAAGTATTAAATTTAAGTAAGTATAAATTTATTTTACTAAAATTGATTTTTGTTATTATTATCTCCTAAGAATGCTATCTATTATTGGCATTTTGTTTATTATTTAAGTGTAATTATATTATATATATTAACTAGATATGCATTTGGCACTGTGATAAGGCACTGATAGATAGATAGACAGATAGACAGATAGATAGATAGATAGATAGATCAAGAGATTGACAGATAGATAGAAAGATAAATAGATAGACAGACAGACAGACAGACACATGGACAGAAAGATAGATAGATAGATCGAGATAGATAGATAGATAGATAGATAGATAGATAGATAGATAGAAAGACAGACACATAGATAGATAGATAGATAGATAGATAGATAGATAGAGAGATGGACGGACGGACGGACAGATACATAGATAGATAGATAGATAGATAGACAGACAGATGGACAAAAAGATAGATAGATAGATAGATAGATAGATAGACAGACAGACAGACAGACATACAGATATAGATAGATAGATAGATAGATAGACACAGACAAAGACAGATATATAGATAGCTAGATAGATAGAATGAGCTGTAGAAGGATAGATAGATAGATAGATAGATAGATAAAAACTTTTTTACAGTGAGATTCTATCACATGTAATTTTAGCTCGCACCATTACAGAAGACAGCGAAGCGCAGGAAGTCCAGGTATCTCTCTCCCTCAACGGGATTCCAGCCGATGTCAGGGTATCCTTTAGAGACCAGCAGAGAACAACTCCGCAAACCACAGCCTGCCAAATACTGCACCACCTACAGTAATGCAGATAGTGATTTTAGTCTGCCAAATATATGATCCACAACAAAACGAAAGAAAGAGAGAAAAAAGGTCAGTCTGCCAAAACAGCACAACAAGAGAAAGGAATGTCACATTACTGTTCAAAAGTTTGAAATCTCTTGCCATATTAATGGTAATTGTTATTTTACATACTTTATACAGAACAAGAATGAGTAAAACATAAGACTCAATAAAGGGCAGCAGGTCTGACCTTCTCCAGGTCTGATTCTGTAAGGGCCAGTGCCAGCTCATAGTTGTCCATTACAGAGGCTGCAGCTACGTCCAGGGGGGTACAGCCTCGCATAGAGGGAGATGCTGAACAGACACACATTTGCCTTTATTCAGCAAAGTTGTGCACAGACAAATCTCACTGCAAACTAACCAATGATAAACCACGTAGAGGGGGACTGACGAAGTGTGTAGCAAAAGACGGTCTAATTTCTGTAATTACACATGCATATAATGAAACTATTTCATAGGTGGAGCTCACAAAGTGACCAGTGAGTGAAAGTGCAAGGCTGACGTTTCTGAAGGAAACAGTGAACGCACATGCACTTATGGAGCGACGCTGGAACCAACTACATGCTTGACTAATAAAGGATTTAAATATTCTTAATTTTCTAGATGATGTTTGTTCATATTTACAGGTAAAGTGGTGCGATGTTTAAAAAAAAGCCACGTCATGAAGTTTGAGTTTTACGTTACGTTTACATCACGTCTTCTTCTGTGAGTATATTGGCCGGTTGCAAAGCAGAAATCTGATTACTGTCTGACTCATGTAGACCTGGAGTTTTCCCATTATCTGATTACTCCAGTACATGTAAATGCATTGATTGGATTAACGACAAAATCTGATTTTCTGCAGTTTTTGGATTATTAAGTGCATGTAGGCGCCCTCAATGTCCAGCTAAAGTATACACATAAGGTCTAAAACATTTTTTTCACCATCATTAAAGATCATCAAGTACTGTCAATATATTAGCAGAAAACTCTAAACAATTTGGCAGCTGCTGTTTAACCTTGACACTAAAAGACTTCTGTTGACAATGTAAGATAATATAAGCCATAAACATGGCTGTATTGATGCTCATAAACACAAATCAGCAGAGTGAGTTAATTTAACATGAGCTAGCACACCAAGTCCAACACTGCTGTGGTCCAGGAGGTAGCTGAGGTGATCAAACATGGCCTTCTGGTTATGTCGGCTGATTCGACAGAAATAGCACAGGAAGCGGCAGCAGTGGGCCACCATCTTTGGAAACATGATTTCCTTAGGAAGGAAAGAAAAACGTATTTTTGTTATAGCAAGATAACACGTGAACAAACACAATTCACAATAATATTAAAACAAGCCTATTGTAAGAAGAACTGCAGATCACCTCCTTGATGAATAATGAGTTGACAATTTAACAGTTTTATAATTGGAAATGCACAATTACCTTGGACTCTCTAGCACCAAGAACATTGACCATCACCTCCATGACCGTCTCGTGCATTCCCAGTGCTCTCATCAAGTTCGGGTGCTGGTAGAACACTTTATTTTTCATGATGTCACTGCAAAGGACAGAATATGAACCTTGAATTCATAAGCAGAGCGAAGATGACTGTAAAATGTCATGCTACACATATAATGGTATCAGCAGTGTTGGGCAGTAACAAAATACATGTAATGGCATTATGTAATCAGAATACCAAAAAAGGCAACTGTATTCTGTTGCAGTTACAGAAAAAGACAGTAATCAGATTACAGGGACATTTACAGGGGCAGGATTACATTCAAACCACGTACTTGTTGAATTTCGCCGTTTAAGCGATAAACATGTTGCGTAAATTGTGTAGATTTACCCCTTAAATGGCCAGAGCTCAACAGCAGGCCCTAAGTTTCATTATATACTTCCATAACCTAAGAATAACTCAACAAGTTTGCACTGAAGACCCTGTAGTTACTGAATACCAAGCCTTAGTATGTAATAAGACTGGGATTTTAGGGGTTAATTTGGAGAAGAAGCAGAAGGAGGAGGGTCCTGCTGTCAGGACAGATCAAAACCCCACCCACAACCAGCAGTTCTCAGTTTTTACTCAGCCAATCTATATAATTTTAGCAACTATTTTATTTTTATTGTCAGAACTGAGATCTGCTGCAATTTGAGTTAATCTTGTGCCCTCGTTTTTCACGTCACCAGATTAAACAACAAAAGACTGATCTGAAAGTCAGCTCTTTTATTCTCGTTTATTGCTATGTAAAATTCTACAGTTTGACTGGCGATAAATCAAACTTTTGTGAACATTAAACTGGCATATTTTAATGCTGAAGTGAACTATCAGTCTGAAATGTGAACAGAAAGCAAAGTCTCGTGAGCGGTATAGTTAGTTTCATTTTCGCATGTATAATTTCTTTCTTCAGTACTTTTCGAATGATGGGTGCAAAATATTAACGTGTACATTATCATTATTTGTAACTATGAAGATCAGTCCCGATTTCTATGAACTGCTGAAACCGCTGATTAGGTACTATCAAACAGTAAGGGCTTTGTAGCAGATAGAACACAAATGATGGCCAGCCAGAGAATTTAGAACGGCCTCTATTTATGATTACTGTTGATGAGGGGTCTCAAAATAAGATTTATAACGGATTGATCTTTTGACTTCGGTATGGTAAAGACAGATTTTCAACAAATAAGGCAAATAAGGAAAAGTCCCAAGAGAGCAGTATATTTTTAACTATACTGCATTTGCATGTTGAAGAAACTGGTTCTTTCTACAGTGATTACTTGTTTTTCTGTGTTTTAGTCTCAACAACATTAGTCTCAGTGTACCAATTTTTTAATTTTCCTGTTCACTCAATTCTTTTCCTGGGTAGCCGTGCCTCGATTTCTGAACTTATCACCTGTTTCACCGCAAGAGTACACACCTTAACTCAAAGAAATTATATTGTACAAATTCATTACCTTTACGTTTGAAATATTTCCATATATTGCTCCTCTCAGATTTGGCCAATTTGCTAAATCTGTTCATTTCTGTGAGGAGCAAAATTTAAGACACCTGTACTGTATCATTTTGCTTTATAAAACCGTGCAGTTTTCATGTTTGCCTTGTGTTAAGTTATATTTCTCTTGAAAAAGCCTTGATAGAAATGATTAGACAAGTAATCCAAAAGTAACAGAAAGTAATCTGATTACATTACTTTCATATAGTAATCCTTTCGATTATGTTACAAGTACAATTTTAACAAGTAATTTTTAGTCACCCTATATTGATATTGTAACAGTGGAGGCGAGGAGGTGGGATGTAAGTGAGAGTCCAGAAATCAGTAGTAGAGGGTGATACAACAGACAAGTCCATGATGAAACAAAGCTGAACAACCAGATCAAAGAAAACAAGCGACAGAGTAACATCCACAATGCAAGACCAAGACTGAACAAAGACAGGGGTAATAAATACACTGACAGGAAATGAGAAACACCTGGGACTAATGAGGGGCGGAGCTACAGACAGGTGGAGCAGATAACAAGGGGGCAGGACCAGGGAGGAGACACAGAACAATAACAAAAGTACATGGCTCAAGAAAACAAAAGGCACATGGCTACCATAGAGGGGAAAAAACAGACACACTCAGAGGGACAAAGGAGGAATTCGTGACAGATATCCTATATTGGATATCAACATAAATGACAAAAAACTATAGCAAAAATAGTATTGACACAAAATACAGCATTTTATATTTTGAAAATAAGAAGAATCAGATCAGTCGTTTATAAACCAACCTACGCACTAACGACTAAAGACATACACAGGCACCAAAAAATCACCATGAAAGATGAAGAATGGCTGTAATGTAATCCTGCTAGTAATTTACCCTATTTTTATAATGTATCTGATGTATCTGATTATGGACTTTTTTTCCTGTAACTGTAATGGAATACAGTGACCTTTCGCTGTACACTGATTACATAACACCCAGCTCTGTACATGGTAGGTCTGAGGAATGAAAACCTTAGAATTTTGAGGAATAAAGCCATTTCAAAGTTGACACTGTACTCAGAGAATAGATTATTTCACATATTAATTCTTTTGGGTGTTTTTTTGGGGGGGGGGCTGATGTATGAAGCCAAGTTTTGTATATTCTTTACATTTTTTGTTCCAAAACCAAAAAATTTTCTCCACATACCCAAGTCCTCCAATCATGAGTTCCTCTTCCTCTCTGCCCATTCTGGTCCTGAGCAGTGAGCGGATGCGTCCCAGTGCCTCCTGCAGGCCCAGAGTGTCCTCCACTGAGCTCTGGCTGATGCAGTAGGCTTTACGGAGAGGGGCAGCCATCTGGCCAGACAGTCCAGCATACTGCCACTGGAGCAGACCAAAAGCAGCCTGAACCAGATCTGGATCATCTGACGGCCCTTCCTGAGCCCAGCGCAGCATGGTGTCAGAGATAAGCTGCTGCAGAGAGACTGAAAGGAGACAGAGTGAGAGGGCGAGAGGTGAGAATAAGCATACAAGTGAGAAGAACACTAGAAATAAGAACAGAAGACAGAAAGAGAACGAAAATAGGATGTAGTAGAGAGAGAGAAAGCAAAGGAGATGAGTGTGCAGTGCTGCAAGCCACACTACAATCATATTACATACACAGTGCAACAATTAAGACTGTGCAGCACCAGACGCAATGAATGTATCATTAAAATTCAAATACTCTAGCTTTCTGTTTTGAAGTTCATACCAGATTTAGGCACAATGTCCTCTTCAACTACTCCAGACATCCTTCTCTTTAGACGAACCATTCTGTCCAGCAGACCTTTTAATCGATGCCTGACATGCCGATCCTGCTCATCTTCAGTAACTAAGTCTTCATCCATTTCAACTCCTGCTAACAAAAGACATTTATTAAGACATATAACTCGCATTCTATATGATGGCTCCGTAGTCAGTAGAGTCAGTCTGATATTGGTCAGTTACCACAATGGCTCCTCATGTCTAAGTGAAAGTCCCAGAGCAGATCTTGGATCTCCTCGGGACACGGACATTCCTGCTGCTCCTCTTGGAAATTTAGCAACATGTTCATCTGGAAGAGAAGGACATGACTCCTCAGGACTTACATCACTATAATTACCATAGGCTGGGCTACATTTACCAAGCACACCACAGTAAAAGATGTAGGATCAGCAGCCCAACTGACCATGTGTCGCATGGATGGATGGATGGATGGATAGAACTTTATTGATCCCGAAGGAAAATTGCGGTGTTTCAGTAGCAAGACATATAATTGCACATGCAGAAGTAAAAAACAGAAATAAAAAGCATGTAAATTGAGAAAACTGAAGCTAGATAAGTACTCTGATAAGATTGCAAGATATAGGCGACTACATAAAAAATACAAAAAAACATGAATATAATATGATAACTTATGGTAGTTTCTTCACTTTAAAACAACTTAAAAGTGCCCTGGTAGTTCTCTCTATTCCTATACGCTGCATATGAGGAACATCTGATGATAGCTGAACATAATGTTGCCTCAAACATTTTCACTCTCCGCTGCTCAGCAAATCTGGCACCCCTATACTGTTACAATCTTCGTCCTCTGACCTTTCACTCATTACTTCTGACCTGTTCTTGAGGAGGAGAACGAAATTCCTTGGTCTTGCGGGCGGTGAGAGCAGCTGACATGTTGAGCGCCTCCATGACCTCATTGTATCGGAAGCGCTGGTTGTCCTGGAGATGACCCACAAGGTCATCGGAGAACGCCACCACAGCCTCAACCCTGTGACGTATCTGACAGTCGCACAGGTACTGCAGCAGGTGGCACAGCTGAGGGAGCGAAAGGGAGAGAGACAGAATGAAAATAGTGAAATGACAGAAGAGGAAAGAGAGTGTTTGATCCAAAATGACCAGTGAACCTCCAGGTGTTTGCTGAGAGTTTGTTGAAAATCTGGTACAATCTGGATAAAATTTTGCCTTACAAGACCCTGCATGTACCTCTCTGCCAATAATGAATTTTAAAAAATATGTTTTAAGCCAAACTTTAACTCAGGACTACCATAAAATAATGCCAGAAGCATCAGGCAGTGTATTTGAAACTTTTCATGTGTTTTACGCTTGTTATGATGTAGCTTTTGAAGACATTAATCACTTCAGACAAGCTGCATTTCGCAGTGCACTCAGAATGACACTGTTTACATATTAACGATTTAATTACGCAGAACTTCTGAAAAAACAGTGGATTTCCCCTTTAAAAGAAGTGCTTCAATTATAAACATCTCATTGTAGCACAAGTAGAGATATCAGATTGGCTTTGGTATTGGCTAATACTCGAGATTTTAATAATGATATATGTTGTATTGGAAAAGAAAAAGTGGTATTGTGCCATTTATAGCTTTTATACTATTACTATGTTTGTATTACTTGTATTACTTCTATAGTTTTTCAGTATATATGCTGCCATTATAAACTCATTAAGTCAAACTCAAACACCTGCCTCTAGTTTAACCGCTTCTGGAAGCTTCATCCTTAACTCCAGTAGAGGAACGCTGGTCCTTCTCTCTCTGCTCTCGTCTTCTGTCTTTCCATCAACCTCTCCATCTCCGTCCCCCAGTCCTAAAAAATTTTCTCTCACATAGGCAGAAGGCAAGATGAGGAAAAGCACACGCCGCAGGTCTGAGCTCTGAAACACGCCCATGAGAAGCAGTGTGTGAAGCAGCTGGAGGAGAGGAACCAGCAGTAGCTCTACGCTGCCTCCCACAGGGTCTCTCACACACTGCCCCACTGTGTACAACGCCTCCTCCAGCATCGCTGTGGTAACAGCCTTCAGGACGTCCAATGGGAACTCAGGACTGTCCTGGCAAAAGCCGCCCTGGACGGTGTTGTTAATGTTAATAAAACAAGGTAAGGCAAAGTGTGCTCTGGGTCGCAGTGAGGTGCTGATGTCACTTCCTGGGAGGCTGTGATGTTTCTCATTGCTTTGAAAGAGCGTAATGGTGCGTGTAACATCGGTCATGGGCACAATGTACTCATAGGCGGTTGCCTTTCTGGCACTGGTGTGGGCACTGAGGTGAACGTTGGTTAAAAGGGCATAGAAACCTGCTCGCAGGGGCCCAGGCATTCTAGGACATCGCAAGGCAAAAAGGAGCTGTGATTGGTCCACATGGCTGCACAGGGCATGGCTTACAGGTGTGTTCCCATGGGCACAGAGGGCAGAGTAGAGGCGGAGCGTGTGCTCATGGAACTCAAGCAGGTGTTCCTGTTCGGAGAGCTCTAGAATGTCCATGCACCTGAGAAAGGGAAAGAAGATCAGTAAGAAATATTACATTAAATTAAAATGAAAACGTTTATTTAGATACGTAATACTATATATTCATACAAGGAAGGCAGCTCAAAGTGGTTAACATAAGATTAAAAATAAATAAATAAATAATGATAATATCTGAAATAAAAAAATATGCTAAGGCAGTTCCAGACCGATCAGGAATCAATTTCAAAATAAATGACAGAACATCTCATGTCCTCTGACCTATCCTCCTCAGGGATGCGCAGGGTCATGACCTGAAGGCTTTCCTTGCACTGCACTCTCCAGCCGTGCCTTTCCTCTAGTCGAACCAGCTCCACCTGTGGGCTGTGGTCAGGTAACCGGGTCCACCTTGCGTGCATAAGGCACTGCACGGTCATCCTTGGGGGACACTGAGGCCCTGCATTATTCTTCTCGCTCCGAAACACAGCAGCAGACAGGGGCAATACACCCTGAGGACAGAAAACTGGATCTTAGAATATCACCTGCTAGTGGCATCCAAGAGATGAGTTAAATACTAGTCACAGTTGCAAGCATGTAGGTTTCATCAGCAGCCTTTTTCTTCTCAAGAAAAAAAATAGTGTGCATCTTTTACCATATTCATTTTATATGACATTTAGATTTAGCTTAAAGCTTGAAACATGTTTACTTTGATCCGTCCAAGTTCAAACTGGAAGACATCAGGAGTTGTGGCTTTGGCGAAAACAGCTGGGAACAGCTTGGTGCATGGTTCCACCTAGGGGAGGAACACAGCCTATCAAACCAGCCATATAAGTATAGGTCAAATATTAGCTATGCAAAGCATCTGTGAAGGTAGGCAGTACAGCAATTCTCACACCTTGGAAACAGGCCTGTCATAATGGAGTCCTTTAGTGGGGCAATGCTCCAATAGCCATTCATCACACCCAAATATAAACCCACCACTCTTTTGTACATGTTTCTGTAGCAGAACATTGCCCCAATTTAAAAGGCTACATTAGTTAACAGAGTAGGTGTTGAATGCAATACTTAAGAAATAAGATAACTTACTAACATATTGGTTGTCTAGTTACCTGGAAGTAGGTTCCCATCTCCTTTCCATTAGCAGTGAAGGTAAGAAGGCCAGTTGCCGTGTCAACCAGACAGCCAATCTCAAGCCCACTGCTGCTGCGGCTGTGAGAGAGACTACTGCCCTCTGCTGCACACACCATGTAACAGCAGCTGCGTTTGACACTGCAGAGTACACAAAAACACACATTAAACCAACCCAAAACACTGCTATACAGAAGTACATACAAACTGCTCCTCTTCCCACGAAGTGTACACTATTGTCACTGACCTCTGGAGAACTTTGCCCCACTCATCTCCAAGTGTTACCATCACAGTGCACACTCTCTCTAGGTCAAAGCTCTGCTCAGGGGGGCGAAAAGCTGAGGTTACCCATCCCACCCAGATGCAGGAAGGATCTTGGCCATGTAGAATTTTCAAAGAATAGTAATACTGCATGAGTAGCAAGAAATGTCAAGGAGAAAGACAACAGGGAAACAAAGAAATGATCATGATCACGAAAGTTATGATAATGGCAATATTCACAACACAAGGCTCGTAATCAACTCATAATAAAAATTATAATGTCACCGCTAAACAAGTAAACTGCTAACTAATGGCTTTAGTCTCTTATCTTGGCACAGTCTGCATGTAACCTCTTACCTTAGTGCAGTCGGCAAGGTGGTTACAGTCATCCCTCTCAATCGCCAGCACCTCCTCCAGTAGCCGGGCTGAAGAACTACTTGTGTTCAGCTCCGGCTTCTTCTTCAAAAGAAAGCTGCAAAGGACAAGACACGAAGTTAAAAATCAGTGCTTGGAAAACATTCCCACATAAAATCAAACTTCACTTCAGTATTGTATGCTTTGTTAATTGAAGGTTATTTGAAAAAAATATTTGATATCCTTCTGACATAAGTTTCCTTACAAGTCTCATATACTGGCTACGGTTTGCAGATGGTTTGCTTAGAGCTGGAGTCCAAGTGTGGGCTCCAATTTTTGTTTGTACTCCAGAATAGCACAGATTATTCACCTGAGTAATCATCAACTATGCCTTTAACTGATTGAGTCATGTATGAAAATATGGCGGCACACAGTTTCTCTGAGGACAAAACTAAAGGCTAATTTTTTTGACTGCAGCATTATCAACACAAACTGACCGCTGTCTGCGTTTGGAAGGCTTCTCTTGGGTCTGGTCCTTGTGGTTGTTCAATTCATCTCTGCTTCCAGTGTACCTGTGGACCGACTTCATTAACACTTCAAAGTCTGAGTCCATGTCTCCTTCGTCTGGTTCTCTGATGTGGCAGACCGTGCTGCTGCTGGGAGGAAGAGAACCCTCCACAGGTGTAGAGAACACCTGCGCACACTCTACAGGCATGCTCAGGCGATAGAACTCAACATCAGTGTTGGCACTGTCTGGTGCCACCACTGCCTGGGTGACCTTCAGACCTGGTGGGCGATCTACTGTTCCATCAATGCGAGTCACCTGTGAATGAGACAGGTTTCATTATTAAAGGGGCCATATTCATATTAATCAACTGCTTTTGGTTGTGATGCTTTGTGACATTTTAAGTTCTAGCACTGCTCATTTGGTAAAATGTGATAAGGGTACATGACGTACCTGTAGGTAGGGATGATCCTCCAGTACAGGCACAAATAAAGGTTCTTTCCAGCTCATCCACAGAGGCAGGTCTCTTCTCATATTACAGCCAAAAGGTTGGTACCCTTCCTGAAGCCCACACACGTTTAAGTATTTCAGAGTGTTTACCCGGTGGCCTAAATTCAGCCGCCCCACCTGGTTCACACCCAAACTACACACAGGTAGGAAACCTTGGGTACAAAAGATCAAACAATCAACAAACAAAGTCAATGTACAATCCAAAACACAGACTCACCACTATATAATACATGAATTATATATATATGAGTGTTTAAAAGTCATTTACTGAAAAAATATATTGTGTATATATTTAAATTTAATATAATATATAACTATGTTTCAAAGCATCTTCACATTTGTATTTTTTTCATTTGTATGCTTGGATTAGTAGTACTAGTACAGTTTATTACACTGAGAGAATAAAGTGCGGGCCCACATAAAGGCCCTTGCAGTTACTATGTATTACCAATAAAACTCACCACCAGATACACTGAAGTCTTTGGCAGCAATCTCAGAGCCGCAGCTGTTCAGCTGCAGCTCTCCGTTTAGAGTGACCATCATGGTCTTCCGAGATAAATCCAGCAAACATCCAATCACATCCCCCTTCTGCCAGAGACGGCCCAATGGCATGGGACTGCCATGCCACCACTGAGCCTGCAGGGAGGAGAAAGACGGCCAGACAAACAGAGACAGCGACGGAAGTAAGGAGTGACGAGATAAACTCAACATGGTTTTATTGCAGATCTTTGCTACTGTGAATTAGTAAAGTGATTCCCACTGAAAATACCTTAGAGCCATCAAACACAAAGGCCTGGTTGTCTGACCCCAGCTCCACGTGCGGTTTACTTCCAGGCCGTGTCCCATCCCACTCTCATCTCTCCATCAGTGACCACTTCAAATTCAAAATACCATTTTCCATCACGCACTGCAAAGGGGCGTTCCACGCGGAAGATTCGAAATGTCTCCTCACTTGCAGCTTTCACTTCAGGACCTAAAAGTGCTACAATTAGATAACGTTTCTAATTAGTATAGCTTTTGGAAAATAACACTCAGAACATTCTTATTATCTTTTTCACTTTTAACATTATTTATTAATGTTTTCTATTGTTTCTGATCATGACTTTCTAAGTTTATTTAGGTAATTTTCAGGAGATAGTTGGGAAATCGGAAGTCAATCAAATAAGGCATTCTAGAACATTCTGGAAAACTGTGCAGCTGTTTCTAGGATTTTATGAATGATCTAGAGAATATTTCTCGGGCTTATAGTAGCCTGATTGGCTCCTGACCTTTGAGATGATTCAGGAAGGGTCTAAAAGATTATCAGCTGTTACGAAAACTTTGATTAATTTGAGTGTTTTCCAGCCACTTCAATCATTTGTGTGCCTCACTGAAATATAAGAAACTGACACAAATCCACAGCAGCAGGTTCCCACAAATCCACGATTTTAGACAGTTTCAAGTTCATAGAAACCTGACCTGTAACACACTTTACGTAAATACACAAACACAGAATATATTCAATGCTGCTACCATTGCAATATCCTTGTTCTCCACATCGCAGAAGCCATATATTTATTGACTGATTTTTGTTGCCATCAAAAGCCTGAGAATCCAGAATTCCATTTATCCATAGTTAACGCAGTTATGTTTTGGTGCATAACTGCAGCAGTTAAGACTCACGCTGCTGGTGTTCTGGTGGCTCTACAGTGTAGCCAAGCCCAAGTAGAGTCCCCAAGGCGTCCCTCGCAGCTTCTCTACTGCAGCGCCTACTTTTCTCCTCTAGCAGAGAAAATGGCACAAGCTGGGGACTCCTCTTACTCTTAACATCCTGAAATACAAATACAGAGTTCACATCAGTGCCATTCATACATGACTTTACCATTCAACTAAACAAGGTCTGCCTACCTCATAATCAACGAGGTGGCCCTAAAAATTAGGGGCTGTGATACACAGCAAATTGCTCTGAGAAACATGAGAGCTCACAGCAAGGCTCACAGCAAGAAGTGCCTGGGTTTGATTCTTCGGCCGGGTGACCAGAATTCTTTCTGTGTGGAGTTTGAATGTTCTCCCCATGTCTGTGTGTGTTTCCTCCCACAGTTCAAAAACATGCAGTTAGGCCAAATGGAGATACTAAATTGCCCCTAGGTGTGTATGTCTGTGTGTCTGCCCTGTGATGGACTAGCTACCCGTCCACGGTGTTTCCTGCCTTCCGCCCAATGAGCGCTGGGATTGGTTTAAGCACCCCCCACAAACCCAGGAGGATAAGCGGCTCAGATGATTAATGAATGAATAATTTTGTTTCAAAAGTTAGTTACTAGTTTCTATGATGGTATATTCTCAAACTGTTCATGAATTTGTCTTGTATGCCTCACTTACTCGGGAAATTTTCAAATTGAGCAATTTACTGGTAAAACAAGCTACATTAGCTTGATTACCAATTTGTACTCTTCTCTTTCTAAAAAAGTATGTTTCAAGATTCAGTAACGCAAACTTAATGGAGCCTTTTCATACTCTCGTTTCAAAACATGAAAGGAAGGCGCTTCACAAGTTGTCTTGAGGGCCTTCCCTATATCTCAGGCTGTGATGTAGACTGATTTATAAAAGAATATACACACACAACACACACCAACAAGAATAAAGGACAGAGGATGTCCGTTGAAAAATGTATACTTTTAATTGAAGTTAATTTAATATAATTTAATTAAAGAGCTAACCTGACTAGAAATATGTTGGCTTGTTTTCATATGTATATTTTCAATATATTAATGTTTTTACATGCGCATGTAGTTTCAAATGTTGTGAACGAGGAGGGGATAATGAGTGCCAAGTCGTTTATTACTTAGCATCTATTAATATTATTATTATTACTAATTATTACTAATTATTATTATCATAACAAAGCGGTGATGTGAAAATTAGAATAATTTTAAAATATGTTACTACCATTACTCTAATGTGGGTAATGTTTCTTTTTCAGGATGAGGCAAAGTAGTGTGGAGGACCTTTGAATTTTAATCTTTTGTTGTTCTTCAATGGTCCATTTTCATCTCTCTCTCTCTCTCTCTCTCTCTCTTCTCTGTTGACTAAAATTTCACTTGCAGTCCTGGTTGTGATCAGTAAAATCAGTCTCCTGTTTTAAGATGTCCAAGTTAAATTTAGGCCTATCTATTTCAAGATAAGCCATCTTATTTCAAGTAACAGCGTAATCATAGTCCACTTACTCAACTTCCTATTAAATCAGTGATTTGTTTTCTTGTTCTTTGGCCTTCATTTTTCCATAGTGCCAAAAATTAAGAATGCAAAAAAAATGTAATTAAGAATTATTTGCTAATTTTCAGTGTATTTCACTTACTTAGATGTAGCAAGTCTGATCTCTAGTAATTTGATCTAAAAAACTGGATTTTCTACTTATTTCAAACCTTTAAACACTTATCATAGCCTTCTTATTTCTAGACTGGAACTTATTTTAAAATCTCTTGTCAAGCAAAATTATCTTGCTGCATGGACAATTTTACTGTTACTATTAAGTCTTTTCCTCCTCAATTTCAGTGTTTATTTCTTTTATTTTAGCTACTTATTCCACAGTGTAAAGTGTACAGTGAGTGTATGTTAACAACCAAACACACATAGTGAGATCTCTGACTGTGTTACGAAGTGGCTCAGTATCTGCACTACTGTGGTGATGAGTGAAGTGATGGGAAAATGCACTTTTTTCTTTGCATGAAGTTTAAATCAATTAAGCTGTATAAATCCAGTATCACTGGTGTTAATTCCACCTGCTGTGTTGCGTAGGTCCAGCCCTGTCTGATGCGCTCTCTGGCCCAGATGTTGTGCTCGTTCTCGGCCAGCGCCTCCACCAGAGCTTCCTGGGAAGCAGTGAGAGATATACTGGACTGATCCACTGGAGCAGGTCTGTAGCCATTGCACAGTTCATACCTGCACAGGTGAAACCATCCAACAGGTGTTAGGCCTGTTCTACATCCCTGCTTTAAAACAAAGTGTTTGGCCAAGGCTGAACTTTCATCTTTAACTGCTGAGGCAGCACTGTTTTTGCACTGCTGTGGTACTAAAATTAATCTACAGATATTTTTTTGTGTCATTACAGAGCTGAAGATATAACCCGACAAAAGTAAAGACTTCTAACAGACATGTCATTTTAAACATACTTGTTTGAGAGCCGGACGTATTTCACATTCTCCTCAGCGTGGTCATCGGACAGTCCAATATGTGCACCAAGAGCCAAGAGGGTCCTTCAGAAGTGCAGCACAGCAATGACATAACACTTGGTCAATGAGCAAAGTGGATCAAATTTGATTAAAAAACACTGCGTATTAAAAGAGAATGTGGTTGTAACAAGAGTAACACCTGACAGTGTTTTCGGCTGCCTGGAGTTTGCTGTGCCTCTCCTGGTCTGGAAGTTTGGAAAACTCAACCAGTCCGGGATGAACTCTTTTACTGTCATCTCTCACCTGGAAGACATACACATTTTTCTTAGAGAGTCCAAGTAACTAGAAACAGTTTGATAGGCCACTCAATTTGGCAAACTAAGTCACCACTTCATCATTTTAGCTTTTGAAATGCTTTACATTAATGTGATTCATTGATCTAGCTGTTATTATTAGACTGATCACAGTAGTTAAAGGCTGCACATTTTAAAGGTTTGTCTAAATTTACAGCAAAACCATAATAATAAATCAATATTTCTATTGGTTATGAGTCTGAGGAGGTATATTAAAGCAGGTATATTACAGCACAAAATTCTAAACTGGACAGAGCTGTGACCCTTCATTTTTGAGATAACGTCCAAAAATCATCCAGTCATCTACTTTCACTCACGGGTCCGTGCGTCCACCCCTGCTCGATCTTATCCAAAAGCCAGAGCTCATGAAGGTTTTCAGCCAGCCTCTCTCTGATCAGCTCAAGCTGCAGAGGTAACACAACCTGAGGAAGAAAAACCAACAGGTAGTGACTTCACAGACTTCACTTTAATTGCTGGGAATTAGGATAAATGTTTCTTGGAGCAACTCTGAAACAAATCATGCTAAGGTTACTGAGATCAATTATCGCTCATTCTTTTCCAGGGCCTTATCATGCAACCCTACAAAGTTTATGATCATGTTTGCTTGTTTTACTTGACTCGTGTCCACTGGTGATGGGGTAAATGTCACTGGGCCAATGGGTGCAGCAAGGCCTAAGAGGTCACGCTGGCCATTGCCTTGAAACCGAGTGAACTCCTCACACAGCTCCAACCTACAGCGCACACTGGGGAGCAAGGCTTCAGCGCATGGGGAGAATCCAGCAGGGGGAAGGAACTTAAACTCCCCCTGCCTGCCTCCAAACAGCAGACGCACCCTGCAAAAAAGTCATTTTTCCTTAAAATATAATTTGAAATACATAACAACATATTGTTTAAACAAAAATGTGTACTTTAAGTTGTAAAAGTTGAGAAAAGTCTCCCAAATGTCATCGTATTTCAGATCTCATCTTGCCATTTCTGTCCCTGAGATACAAAATCAAATGCAGGGCACCTGACTCCAGCTGAGAAGCTGACCACAGGAAACAGCAGTTCGTCAGCACTGAAGTTTTCCAGCATGCCCTGCACTGGTTGCCCATTGACCCGAAAGGAAATACAGGGAGCGCTGAGGTCAAGACAACAACTGATGACATCATCCTCCCTCAGAAGGTGCTGATTTGGTGAGCCGACCCTTTGACCAATGCCTCCTGGGGTGCAAAAAGTTGAGAATAGAGTAGTTGATTTATATTACCTTATTGTAAGACAAACTGAAATAAAAGCACCACTTAAACTATTAATCCATTGGAAGCCGAGAAGCTCTGAGCGGCAACTGAATGTATGAAAGGTACTACACAATTCCTATTATTATTATTGTTGTTGTTGTAGTAATTGTTTTGTTTTGTTGGTAATAAAACAAACAAAAATTTTAAATAAGAATAAATCATAGGTTATTTTCCATGATAAGTTTGGGAGCAGCACAAGCAGAGCAGTGCCACCTGGTACCGAGGGATATAAAGCACCTTGCTCAAGCAGGAGCACCCAATCAGTGCAGGGCTTTAAACTCCTGATCTCCCAGTTGCTCTCTCACTTCTTTTACAGTAAAGTAAAGTAAACCACTACCAGCAAACTCAGAACATTTTTAGTAAGATTTTGACTGAACTGAACTGCATCCCTGGACTTACTTTTTAGATTTTACACAGATCTGTATTTTCAGCTAATCTCACCCGTCCACAGGTGCAGTCCGTCAAATCCATAGGAGCAGAGGTCATCCCCTACGCCGCTGGACCCCCAGCCATGACCTCCTGTTGGGAAGGGATGGTAACCTGCGGTGCAGGCCCAACCCACTCTCAGGTGAGTCGGCTCAGCCGCCACAAAAGGCTCTGCCTTCTCCACCACCACCTCATAGTACCATTTCCTGTACTGAGCACAATCATCGCTCATGCAAAGGTAGATGTTTGGGCGAACGCTGAAACAAAACAGGCAGGTTAACTAATGTGGAAAGATGACACTTTGTACAATGTAGTGCATCACATTTAAAATTTGCTTTAAAGCAATAGTTGGAAAATACGCAATATTACCCTTACACTGCATTTACATTACAGCAGAGTATTATTTTCTATGGAGACAGGCGGCAGTTGGCACAAAGCACGCGGTGAGATCGACAAAAAGTTGAGCTTTTCTCAGTTTTATGCAAATGAGAAACAAGTTTTGCCAGGCGGCACCCAATCAAATCATGCAGAAATCAGTACTGATGGAAGATGATGGAGAAATTAGTGGGAGATTTTTACATTAATTCACATTTTTTAAAAACAATATTAGACCTTTTTAGACCTCTTCTCACCATCTTACACTGGAGCACAGAACTAGCTTAAAACTCTGACTGGCTGAACCTGCCTGGGTTTTAGTGACACACCCACAAAGCAGCCAACAGTCAGTGAGGTAAACTTTTTGATTCTCTGTAATGTAAATGCAGCATTACCCTAAAAGTACATCACTTGGCTAAATACAGCAGTAGCAGTCATATTAAAGCCTGAATATTGTCTATACTTCTGTCTTTTTATAGAGAACAGTTACCACATAAGCATGTCTATAAAAGATTATTTAACCCCTTAAATGGCCAGGGCCCACCTGCAGATTTAAAGTTTTATTATAACCCAAGAATAGCTCAGCCATTTTGCTTTGAGGTCCCTGTAGTTACTGAATTATTAGCCTTAGTATGTAATAAACGTGAGACTTTAAAGGGTTAACAGCCTCACATCGTTTAAAGTAAGTGTGTTATGATTTAGGCATACAGTTTGCATATTGCTGATTTGTAAAAAAAAAGCTATAGTGCAAAACTAAGGAAGCAAAATTCATGTTTTGGGTGGTGTGAAGGTGCAAACTCCAGTGATTACCTGGTGACCTGATTGACCAGTTGAGTCTGCATCAGTAAATCTCTCTCTGGCAGCAAAGTGTCACAGATCAAATGTTGATTAGAGCGGACTGCCATTCCGTGACACACACACAGTGAACACAGCACATCCAGGATCTGGAGCATACATATGAGAGGTAGAGGCTCAAAGAGAGATTTTAGGGGAAACATGGACTGCTGTCATTTTAATACAGTCAAACAGGCACACACACACACACACACACACACACACACACACACGCACACACACGCACACAGAATACCTTCGAATTGCGTCCATGTTTATCTAACAGTGAGATTATAGATCTAATATGACCCTCTTTAATGAAGTTCAATGCCTCTGGACTCTCCGTTAGCACACAGTGCAGCACTTCTAGGATACCTAAAACAACAAACGCACATAAAAAAGACACTGTGTTACCACTACAGGTGTAAATCGGTGACCTCACACAATTTGATTCAACTGTGATTCGTAGGGAAACAATTCTATGCATCATGAAATCTCAAATTTCAGTATAATTAGACTAAATTATTAATTTTTTTTATAATAGATTTTTTAAAATAATCTATTTACATTAAAAAAATACACTGAAATCACATCTTTGAGCAAAGGGACTGGACAATAATTCAAGAATACAAAGGAAATGGACAATAATTCAAGATATTTGGTGTTTTTATTGCATTTTACATTTTTAAAACGTCTAGAAAAAAGTTACAAATTTGCTGTAACTGACTGTAAATGTACAAAATTGATGCAGTTAAATCACCAACTTAGGATCGATTCTTGCACTCCTTATTACCAATCATTAGACTTACATCAATAATATAGTAATACAAAAAAATTACTATATTCACATAATAATATAGTAATACAAAAAAAAATAAAAACCTAACTTCTCGTGTTCTAACTTCACATATAAGAAACTCACCAGTAGAGGCCTCCAGTCTCTCCAATCTGCCAACCAGCCAGTCCAGAGATGTGGAGAACTGGGAGCAGTTATTCCGATTGCCCCGGATGAGGGCAGCTACAGGAGGAAAATTAAGAAGGAAAATTTATTAACAAAAAAGTGACAAATCAGGAATATTTTGTGAAACCTAATGCGCAATGTCTGTTTTCAATTCCTGTTTTGTGCCTCATGGTGGCAAAAGCTGACTGAATTAAGGAACTCCGCACTAACTGTCTTAAATGCTCTTCGGCAAAGGTAAAAAACAAACAGTCTGAGATATTTTTTACCCAGAAGCTCATAGAGGGAGCTCAGGGTGGCCTCCCATGAATCTCCTGCCTCTTTCCCAGCAACCTTCGCAAAATGGGCCGCACTGTTGTACAGATGGAGATGGTCAATGCTGTCAAGTACCAAGGTAATGGCACCCTGGGAGACAGAGGGAGAAAGAGAGACACTGTGCATTCCAAAGTACACACACATTTAAGAATTCACTTCAAATTCAAGGCCCTGGGCATAAATAATTTGAACATGATGTGGTAAAATTATAAAGAGATTACCAGCATCAGAAATAACCAAGAACTTCAGCAGAAAGTGACCTAATTTTCAACACTTTCGCCCCTTAAGATACAGGTACAAGGCAATAAATGTCCCAAAGATAATGAGTTATGAAGACCCCCACCATCACTTCGACCTTGACCTGACAGTGTGCATGCATTCATCTGTAGAAAAATGGATCTCCATATTATGTAAAACATATTATGTTATATTATATCTTAATCCATGTGAATTACCACCAATTCTGTACTTTTATTATCAAACATTTTTGAATATTTGAACGTAAGTGCTGCAGACATTACCTCTTCTTGAAACAGATGTTGTCTGTTCTTCAGTGTTCTGATACTGCTCTGCTTCGCCTCATGACCATGACCAACCTTTGGTGGGTGGAAGTAACCAATCAGATCTTGCAAGCTCTGACAGAACATCTCTATTTGGAGTTCTGAGGCTGAAATGTTGGTTCTCTCGTCCAGTCCCCTGGTCAAGCAAAAAATTAGAGGCATTCATAAAAATTCTTCTTCAAGCGGCAGAGTCTGCACAAATAGTTTATTTCTGTGCTTATGAAATATCACTCTGGTGTAGCAGTTTTACTCAAAAATACTTTAAATATTCAGATTTTCTTTTGTGTGTTTTGGAAATACACTGATACATAGGAATCAACCTCCTAGCGTTTCTCCTTCCATAAAATGACACGTGCCACCTGGCTTTGAATGAGAGGATGTACCTAGCAAACTAAAGCCCTATTTGGACAGGATTAGTTTTCCATGAGGAGCTGGTGTAATGAAAGTTTACCTCAGGACATTGTAACGTTTATGAACGTTTCACACAGGATACGAAATTTTGGTCTGAATGACAGAGATGGGAGTGGCTACTTGATTTACGTGCCCTATTTACTCCAGAAAAGAGCAGAAAAGATGTTAAAACATTTAATTTAGCCATTATTTTGTTTACCCTAACTAATTACTGTGCTGTTCAAAGTGAATGCAGTGCATTATTAGCATCATCAACGTGCACAATATTCAGATCTTAAGTCCAGTGCAGATAGCAGTCTGATATAGCAATATGTGGCACAGGTGAGCTAGTTTGTGCAGGAGGAGCAGCATCTAGCTCTAGTCTTCTAGCATCTAGATACAGTAGGCTTTAATCATAGAATTTCTTGGTCCTTAATGAAATATTATTTTGGGGTGGTTTTACCGAAATATAGTGTTACAATGATGACAATAAATGATGTAATTATAATAAGCGTGGTGTTTAGACAAGAAAACCAGCAAAACAACCCCCTTGTAGATGTTCACAGGTATAAGCCACCAATTTCCTTTAGCTTTTGCATTCTTCAATAATAAAAGAACTACTCAGATTTTGTTCACAACTTCACCACCTAAACAAAATGTAGTGTTGGCTTAAGGGACTATTATTTCCATTCTGTTCTAATATAATATATTTAAGATTATGAAAAGCATACGTTCAAATAAGTGTGTACAACTTTAGTTGGTACTTACACTTTACATAGAAGCTGGGATTTCCCATTCCTACCTGATAAAGCCTGAAAACAGAAGTGTAGAGCTACGTATGAGACCAGCAGCTTGAGACTCCTCCCTCTGAGAGCGAGAGAGTGTGAGCCCATCATCCATGTGACCCTCTGAATGGAGAATGGCCTGAAGAGATTGGAAGCACTAAGCTTAACACATTTACATACCAAAATTCATGTGTGTAGAGACCACAAATAAACTAATACAAACACTTTATAAATATACATTATAACCCAAACAACTCTTATCAGTTCATATTAATCATTTTTGCTATTTTACATACAATAACATACACCATGTAGATATACACATTTAAACATTATAAATTATGCATTAGAACAAGTTTCTTTCAGTGAGTGGAAGTACAAAGTAGGGGGTTCTAATAGTGTGTGGTGAGAGTATTTTCTGAGGAGTAAAGAGGCTTAGTTCACCTAGCCTGGTGTGTGTTACCTGCTTATGCAGTCCCTTCTCTTTCCTCCTCTTTGAGTCGCTGGTCTGGTAGGTGAGCCACAGGCAGGTGTCCACGTGCTGGACAAAACAGACAGAGTCTCCGTATTTGATCTCGGGTGCCCCCATCCCCTCTCTCTTTGTATTGAAGTCCATACACTCTTGGCCAGCATCCTACAGTCACAGAGATAAATCAGCTTTGGTTATGTTTTACCCCGTTTATATAAATCCACGGGCTGGTATTATTACTGCAGTGTAGCCACACATTCAACATAATTATTTAGCCGCCATTACTTATTTAATTACATCGTTTTGTCATTACATTTACTTTATTTATAATTGGCAAAAATTGAAAGGAATGTTTTTCATATCCCAAAACAAGACCGTCCACACAACAATAACTTGTCATCAAATTTAAATCATAATAAAACATTGCGTAATAACAAATACAAATGTATTATGGACTGAAAGCTCTGAGTCTGAATTTTCCACACAATTTCCTTGCATTAATAAGTGAGAAATCATTTAGCAGGGTTGAACACAAAAATACAAACAGTTTTTACTCAGAACTAATCAAAGTACTAGCCGTGCCTTCGTTGTGCGGAGACAGAAGGCAGTGGACTTGATGTCGGCCTGCTCTCTCTCCACTAGCTGCAGTCCTCCATCCTGCGACCTGCCTAAATATTTCCCAGTGGTAACATGACGCAAACGGAAGGCCTGACCCCAGCGAGTGTGACTCCCACTCCAGCTGTGGAATCACACACATACACACACAAACATACTCGCAGGCTCAGTTTCCAACATTACCTTTACCTGGGCATTTGAGTAGCCAAGTAGGCAAAACAAGCATTTAACAATTACATGACTAAACTACAGATTAGAATTTTGTAGAATCATTGCTTTAAATTATATCACTGCAGCAGCTGCAAGTTGTGTGGGTGAACTTACGAGACGCATAACATCTCGATCCTCCAGAGAGAACAAGCTTGAGATGATGCGGTGCCACCTTCAAAATGAACAGATCTGAAAAGAGGGGAAAAGATGAGTTTGAGTAAGGACAGATAAATAGATACCAGAGAGTGAGATTTAAAAGATTCAAAAAGAAACAAAACTACCAACATCTTTGACATCTCTAACTAATCCAGGAATCAAATTCTATGCTTAGCAGCCAATCAGAGCCTCTTGTCACTGACCTGCGATCCTCCTCTCCATGTCCAGCAGGAGGAATGGTTAGGCATTCATCTGTGTGACCATGCAGCAATCGCAAGGTATCCCCTCCTCTTAGGTGGCCTGCAGATTAAACATCAGAGGACATTTTACCTTTCAGTTTGGAATAGGGGGCACCAGATAAGTCCACCTTATAGTATACAAATACAAACTGTAAATAATAGTACATAATTTTTATACATATAAGACAATTCCCACCCTAAAGCATTTTAGCTATCTTAACTTACAACAGGCTATCATGCAGATCAATTCCAATAAATAAATTTCAAATATAACACCATCTCTTAAAATGACAGTGCAAAGTTCTCTTGATTTGAATGGCAAATTCTTCACTGTTAGGCCACAGTATAAATACTCCACACGCAACACAAGCTATGAACCCATTACAATGTGCTGATGATAAAGATAAAACATTCTTTTTGCAACTGTACAGATGATTAAGCCTAAAATATTTTATTGGGTGACCATTAATGAGGTTTAGTCAATGGCTAATACTAATGTGAATGACAGATGAACTAGTCTCTAACTGTACATTACAAACCAGCAAGGCAGAGCTACGGGGTAGGAGTTTCTAAGTTGGTATTGAGTGTATGTCACATAATGATGAATGGCCTTTTTGAAGACTTCGATATTCACACCCAAAATAGATACATCATAACTAAATGGTAAGTTTTCCAACTGGAGTTTGTTTGGCACTGTAATGTATCGTGGTGTGTTTTTGGCCACAAGGAAGAACAGCAGTACCCTGAGCCTCAACAGTGGCAGAGGAGATGGGGGCCACACTCCACAGGGTCTGTTGGAATGCTGCATCCACACTAACACCAGCATCACAAACACCTGCACTCCATGAGACGTGCTGAGAGAGAGAGAGAGAGTGTGAGAGAGAGAGAGAGAGAGAGAGAGAGAGAGAGAGAGAGAGGTGGGAATACAGTGTTACAGTAACAGCATAACTTACAGAAATAATACATCTTGTGACTTAACTGGTAAGTGGAGCTGATAAAATGGATGAAAATGGACAAGGTGTGTGGAGGTGGTTTTAATAAAGTTGCCATTATACACATATGTACATATATATATATATATATATATATATATACATATATATATACATATATAGTATATATGTATATAAATGCATATGCATACATACATACACATACGAGACCGAGTGACTGCACTCACTAGGTATCTTTCGGATGAGACGCTGACCAAAATGAGGTCGTCGCCCACTCTGACCTTCTCTCCCTCTGACCTCTGCTTGGATGCAGGGTGGACTGTCCACCAACATGCCTCACCTGAGGACACACATAGCAACTGATGTAACTTCATTCACAGACATAAATACGTCAACTTTTTTTAAAGACAAGAGGAATGTCTAGCTTTGCCATGACTCTGTCTGACTCCACGCTGGCTCCTCTTCCTCATCATTACCTGAGCCTGTGTGCTGGGATGACATCAGTTTAGTCCCTATTGTATCATTTCTCCATGGTACACCTTTTAGCAATTCAGTGCCTATTTGATTTCCTAGATTTGGTGTTCCCTTGTTTCCAGTCTCCTGGGTTACTCTATCACATTTGGGCAAAATCAGATCTGTGCCACTTCACCCCTGTAATATGTTTGTACCCACAGAAGTAAAGGTTTATGAGACAGTGAAATTTAGCTTAGTGTCAGCTTTACCGGCTACTTCTTCCTGGAGACCAACATCAAATGCCAGCTTATCAGCGGAGAGTCCAGAGGAGGTGAGACAACTCAAATACTAGAACAAGAGGAAGGGCATATCAGCTGCTGTGCAATTGTGCCAATCACTGTCAAATAACCAATTAAAATGCAATAAATGCCTTGAAGCACTTTGAAACACTGACTAACCATGTCGCTGTAGGAATGTCTTAGCAGCAGTGCTTGACCATAGAGGAGAGTGCGGTGGCCAGCAGCCTCTGAAGACTGAAGCAAAACATAACAGACAGCATGACTACAGGATAGTGACAAATTATCAAAGGAAAGACTTTTTAGACAATTTAACTTTTTCTTTGCATTGTGAAGGGGTTCTTTAGACTGATGAGGAATGTGCTGTAGATGGTTCTTAGATGGTTCTACATAGAACCGTTTTGAAAATGGTTCTATATAGAACTGTCTAGAACCCTTTCTTCTATTGTTATGATGTCAGGTTACAATAGAAGAACTCTTTTTGGTGCTATATAAAACGCTTTTCAAAAAATGTTCTATATAGCACCATCTATAGCACATACTTCATCAAAAACCCTTTCACAGTGCAAAGAACGCTTTAATCATGCAAAGGGTACTTTGAGTGTTCATGATTCTATACAGAACCATTTTCTTCACCAAAGAACCCTTGAAGAACCACCATTTTTAAGTGTGTAGTAAAGCTATAAGGTAGGTGGACCTCAAAGTAGACAGTGAGTGGATGTATGAGATGGAAGTTTAAAGTAAAGTGGGTAGTTTGTGTACTGTTGTATATAAATAATAAAGATTAGCTCCACTCTTCACCCCAGCCTGTAGATCCTCATGGTTGGCGAGCATTTCCTGCAGAGCCCGGACGGACACACACCGATCCAGCACAAACACACACAGAGACAGGTCTGCCGGAACATTCTGGAAAGACACATGTTAAAACATCCTCGAGGGTTGTAAATTGATGCATAGATCTCATTATATTACTTTAGCAGGTAAATGAACAGCAGACATTTCTTACAACTAACTCAGGTTTAGGTGCGAATCTCTCACCTTCGAGTTAGACGTGGACTCCAGGAAGCACAGTCGGCAGCCGAAGCCATCGGCAGCCAAACACAGCTTCTGCTGGAGAGGAACAGCCGAGCAGCATCGCAACACCAGCTCATCCGACTGCAAAACACACCAGAGTTAATTCTGACTAATGACATCCACAATGTTAATGAAACAGCTCACCGAAAAGCCTAATTTGCAACTACCCCTTTACCTTAAATGTTGTGGCAACTGACTACGTTTGGGGTAAGAAGATGCTTGATTGACAAACATTTTCGACAAGTTACAGCTTTCTTTATGAGATCAACACTCACGTTGAGAATATAAAGAAAAAAGGTGGTAAATGTAATCTTCAGTGCGTTCGATTCTTGCATTTTCATTCACGTCAAAGAGACTTTACTGTTAAAGTTTTGTTGGCCTTACGTGAGACTGAATAGCTCAGGCTTAAATGGGCGCTTAAAATGAAATATTTACTTACTAAAAACATATTGTAGCGTATCTTTGCAAGAACCCATATTCATTTCCTATGGTATTTCACGTGTTTCTTTGCTATATCTTTGAAATCAATATATTTCATCATTCCAAACGTTCATTAAATATTTTGTTTTTCATGACCACAAATCATTTTCATTCTTCTTCTCTTACTTTATGAAGAAAAGGTTTTGATATTAACACATCAAGTTTTACACACTTGAAAAATGACCCATGCGGGCAAAAAAATATTATAATAATAATTTTGCTAAAATAATTACTTCAGCATTGATTTAGTCAAACAAGTTAATTAATGCAATCCTGAATGATTTAACTAATTTATTCCAAAGATATGGAAAATAAAAACTCAGTAGGGTCACTTTTGACCCTACTGATGGTTCTTCAAGGGTTCCATAGTAATGGGAATGGTTATGTTTTGAACCATGAGCTCTATAGAACCGTTTCATGCTTAAATGGATTTCTGCATGGTGAAATGGTTCGTCAGATTGATGGAGAATGTGGCTCCATCAATAAATGGCTCTATATAGAACATTTTTGAAAATAGTTCTATAGCTATAGGAACAAAAAGGTTACGAGCTTGACATCATAACAATAGCAGAATCCTTTTTGGTGATGTATGGAACCATATGCAACACATTCTCCAGCAACCTTGAAGAAATACTTCATCATGCAAAGAGCCGTTAAAGCATGACGTATCTTTATATGGAACTCATGGTTCTAACTAGAATCATTACCTTTACTAAAGAGCCCTTGAAGAACCATTTCTTAAGAGTGTTGCTGCAGCAAGACCAAGCCCTATGCTGGGCAAAGCCTCAACTAACCTAACTAACTAACTGAAAGTAACCCACCACAACGTCATTTATCTAAAATGAATGTAGCTTAACCTTAATAACTAGAAAGCTAACTTACCTCACCGATACTTTACTTTACTGGCTAGATAATCCGCCCAAGCTGAAGCTAACATGCTAGCGCTGGTTAGTTAAATGAACGTTAACCGTCACCGAGCGAAGACGGTTTACCTCGGTATCACACCATTCTGTCTCAAACACTCGTAACAGCTACAACCGACGATGGATATGTGGCCAATGTTGGCCACAAGACAGCTTCTCTTCACTGAAAAAAAAGGGATTTTAAAGCTATTTAACTGGCTAACCTAGCTAGCTAGTTAGACTAATTTCAGCTCATTATCATGGGCTAGTAACTAAAGTTCACTTTACTAGTCCATGTTAATGAGCTGAAATTGATTAAAATGATTAAGTAACACCTATTATTATGTCTGTTGATAATAATAATAATTACAATACAACTAATAATAACAACAAAAACTAATGTAAGGTTAAAGTGCTTTCTAAACTTACTGTAGAGACTCAAATGACCGTTGGGGTGAGCTCAAAATTTCCGTTGGGTTTCGAATTTTAAGTGAGTTGCGCAGGAGCTGTAGCACTACGACGGCGTTTTAGGGCCACTGTTAATAAAAAATAAAAATAGTAGACTTTGAGAATAAAGTCGTAATATTTCGAGAAAAAGTCGTACCAGAGAACTTGTAGAGAGGAGAATTTCCACTCTGTAATGTCTTCTGGGGTTCTCAAACACTAGAGGGCGCTCCTGAGTGAGTCCAAAATGAATGGGTTGATATGGAGCATTTGAGCAAAATCATAGTTTATAAATGCTTAAACATTTTTTATGTAAAAGAATAATAATAATCATTTCCTGAACACAGAGCAGCATAAAACATTTTAACACCGCTGTTATATTTTTAAGAGCTTTTAAACTCGAGTCATAGGAGTTTAAAACGGCACCTCATGCATGTTCATGACGTCAGTGAGCGCGAACAGCCAATGAGCTGCTCCGCTCACCAATCAATCATCACGCTCTAGCAGTAATGCCCGCCTTCTGCTGCCCTAAACCCGTTTGCTGTAGAAAAAAGGAAACATATAGGTAAGATTTCTTTGTTTTTTAGTGAAATACATCCTTCTACTTTCTAAAATTAAAGAAACGTTCTGGGTAAGCGATTAGAAACTATTTTAACTTTTCGTTTTTAGCCGTTGAGCGCCGTTTACTCCCAATCATTGAGGACTCACTCGCGGGCGCCCTCTGCTGTTTGGCAGTCCTATTTCTGATATAACGGGAGGAATAGGGAGTGGCCAGGCTCCTCATAAACCGGCTCTGGTCGTACTATTTCGACAAAAAAGGCGTAATATTTCGAGGATAAAGTGGGCTAACTGTAGGGGTGCTGCCATAACGCGTTGGGGTCTCGGTTGCTATACTGTACTCACTCCTGTCTGCTTGTGGATCGACCATTTTGATTATCATTCTCACTGTCTGTGAAACTTCATGCCCTCTTTGAATGGCACGGAGATGTAGGTTAGCCACTGATAGCCGTGTAGACGGTCACTGCCTGCGATTCTCCTTCAACAACACAGAGAGACAGTTTCCTCCGAGTCAGTCTGGCCCTTTAATCTGAATAAACACAGGTTCTTATACTAATAACAGGCTGGTGCTGCTGTGCCAGGAGGAACAGGGAGACTGAGTATGTATGGGTAAAATCGATATGAAAGTATAACTCCACCAACTCCTCACCGCCCCTTATTTTGTTATAGACCACTGTAGTCGTGTGTCAATCTGTAGTCCTCTTTATGTCCCATATTACGAACTCCGGGTCTAACCAGAGCCGGTTTATGAGGAGTCTGGCCACTTCCTATTCACCCCGTTATATCGAAATCAGGACTGCTAAACAGCAGAGGGCGCCCGCGAGTGAGTCCTCAATGAATGGGAGTGAATGGAGCTCAACGGCTAAAAACGAAAAGTTAAAATAGTTTCTAATCACTCGCCCAGAACGTTTCTTTAATTTTAGAAAGTAGAAGGATGTATTTCACGAAAAAACAAAGACATCTTACCTATATGTTTCCTTTTTCTACAGCAAACGGGTTTAGGGCAGCAGAATGCTTGCATTACTGCTAGAGCGTGATGATTGACTGGTGAGCGGAGCAGCTCATTGGCTGTTCGCGCTCACTGACGTCATGAACATGCATGAGGTGCCGTTTTAAACTCCTATAGCTCGAGTTTAAAAGCTCTTAAAAATATAAAAGCAGTGTTAAAATGTTTTTTGATATTCAGTGTTCAGGAAATGATTGCATTATGTTACATTAAAAATGTTTAACCATTTATAAACTATGATTTGCTCAAATGCTCCATATCAACCCATTCATTTCGGACTCACTCTGGAGCGCCCTCTAGCGTTTGAGATAACCGGACATTGCAGAGTCGGAATTCTCCTCTCTACAAGTTCTCTGGTCTAAGCTCCATTTCTCTATGGCCAGAATGAATAGGGTTTTCGAAAAATTGCCTCTATCGCTCCCTGTGTTAAATAAAAATGTTCAGAACCCGACACGGTTTGTCCTGTGTATATTTTTCTCCTGAATACCACTGGATCCTCTGAATTACCAGATTGTAAAGAGCTATAATACTAATATTGCTACATGCGCGCTAAAACTACTGCGCATCAATTTGATGTCACTAAGCTACGCGAAATTAAGGCGGGCTGTGCCGGTGCTCTGACGAGCTGTGCTACCTTATCGAAACGTTCTACCGTAGCGCTTAATTACAGGTATACCCGTAAATAAAACCTCTGGGTGGTATATTTTGATAGACTAAAACTACTTATCAAAAATACTACCCGTGTTAAAACTACGAGGCTGAATTAATCTTCTTTTTTCAAAGCTTCTTCTTTGAATGTTCCCGTTCCACCTTAAATGGTGCCGCAGCTGTGACTAGCTATCACAAACATTAGCAAACAAGACAAAATACTGACCTGTCGGTTCGGTGAAACAGCAAAAATAAGTTAATGTTACTCAGCTGTTAAGCGGAAATAGAGAAACCTCCTCATATCAGGCCTTTCAACCCTCCATGAAGCTGAAGTCAGCTTCTTTTTCACCAGCTGCTTATTCGACTTTTCCCGTTCCACCTTAAATGGCGCGGCATTTCAGAACGTGACTGCTGCGCCATTTAAGGTGGAACGGGAAAAGTCGAACAAAAAGCTGGCGAATGTCCTCAGAAAAATGTTACTGGCATTAAAATAAAAACTAGGATATTCTGAAAGCCTAAATCAGTTTATCAGGAGGTGAAACCTGCTTAAGGAGGCTGCCAGTCTAGTGACGTGAATTCAGTGTTTAGTAGTTTTAGCTCACATGTAGCAATATTCATAGTTCAACTCTTTAACGACCTCATAATTCAGATGATCCAGTGGTGTTAGAGAGAGGAATGTTCACAGGACAAACCGTATCGGGCTCTGAACATTTTTATTTAACACAGGGGGCGATAGAG